CTGCAACCGGAAGATATTATCACAGCCATGACAAATACATACACTGCAACCGATATACCCCTTTATAATGTTTATATTTGTAATCCTGATAATATTACTAGGCTATAGGATTTCCTGATGGCGAACGCCGTTCGCATTACATTTGACGCAATTGTTATTCGAGAGGTTACCTTGTTATTGCTGAGCCAAGTCGTGGGTTTGGAAATCATGATCAGTTATTTTGTGTCTGTATTACCTGTATGTACCTGTATGTATTTAATATTATAATAGTATGTTTATAAGCAGTCTGGTTACCATAGCACAAGCCACAAGCTCTGCATAGTTTAGGATCAGACGGCCGCTCGTCATTGGTGTCTTAAATTTATATTATTATATGAGAAATGAACAATCAGTGAGCCAGTTGTACCTTTAATATACGAGTATACATAAACATATATAATGTTATAAAACAGGAACATTAAAACATCATAACTAGGGACAGTCTTCAAAAATTTTGTAACAATACACCAATTATATTATTTTATATCATGTACAATTTTGGATACATATATTTTCTTCAATGCGTCTTTCCTAGAAGAGCAAAAGTTAGATCACTCAACACAAAGATGAAATTATTATTATTACCATAGACAAGTTTAAAAAAAAACAAAGTTTCACTGATTCGGTCGCGATAACATTGATTTTTACAGCTCTAGACCAGTACTTTTTGTTAGTAAAGAGATCCCTTTTCGTTTTCTGCACCCCTAATTTTATATATGCAAATTTCATGGTGATTCATTTGGTTTCGAAGCTGTATAAGTATGTATAATAACTTAGGTTGGAAAATTACGAAGACACTTTTTTCGCCGAACCCCTAAATTCCACGAAACGACATCATCACACTGAGTAGTATTTCGGTGAGATATCGTGGCATATTACAGTGCGGTTAATGTCGTGATATTTTACCATAATGCCAGGACAGTTGACATTCTGAAAACGCCATTTTGAATCACCGCAACATATACTGCAATACGGCAACTGTTACGTAAAATATTTAATGTCACATTGCTCAGTTTTGTTACATTTTTATTTTCTTTTTACGACGTATCTTACATCGGTTATAAATTGATTTATTTTTACATAGTTTACAGTTTATTTAGCGTGTTTCACTACGGCTAGATTTCTAACTTAACGTTCTTAGAACTTACTTTATAATAAGTAATGATAATTTAAAAAATCAAAAATCCGACTGCAAAAGGAACATTTAAAAGTAATGCACTAAATCATCACTTGAAACATACCTAACTATTTATTCATAAAACCATTGTAACAGTGTTTTCTGCAAAAATAAATTTGATTTGATTTGATTTGATTTAAAAAGACCGAAACAGTCTGACACAAATATGGCCCATTTTTACACAATCATTAACTTCTTAAACCAATTTATTATTCCTTATATAACTGACAAATATTCTTGTAATACCCTTTTAATTTTCTTGATTTTGATACCCCACTCGATATGTTTGTTTTTTTTTAGTAACCTATAAGGTACTATTTAGCGCCAAAAAGCCGCCATTTTGTTTTTTTTTTTCTTTCAAGCCATCTACGAACATATGAGTTTTTAAAACGCTTTAAACAATACCTCAACTGTCGAAAATCCATCCAACCATTTGGAAGATACGACTTAATAAAGAAATTTACAAACAAACATACAATATACTGCAACTAATAAAAGTATTCTGGTAAACCTGCCTTTTTTTCTTCAAATCAAATTTTGAGAACTCTTGAAGCACTTAAGGTTTATAACGTTATTGTAATACACTCGTATATGTTATATTGGTTTCAGTGTTTTGTAACACAAATAATGATAAATATAAGTTGAGCACACAGAGTGAATATCTTCAGTAGGTGTTTTTCTAGTCTTATATAACATTTAAATTTAAAAAGAACAGTTAAATATTTTTTACTGTAAGAAACCGCTATCCTACTTACATAAATTATAATAAGTAATGTGTATTAAATTCTATTTATTTTAAAATACAACAAAACATGCAATTGCTATTTTTTTTAATAATAGGTACCAGCCTATTGTTAGCTTAATTTCCGATTTTTAACCTAAACCTTAAAAATATCGCGTTTTTTTTTAAATAGGACTCGGGTTTTTCTTTCATTCATATACGAGTTTACTTCTATACGACTTTACTTATAAATGTAAAAAGTGAGTTTGTTTGTTACGCTTACACACCTAAACCACTAAACCGATTTTAAAAATTCTTTGCCAATGGAAAGCTACTTTGTCGGCGACTGTAGTGATTGAAATTATTGCTACTTTCAAATCATAACTATATTATCAAATGTTTTCAAATCAATGTATTAAATTTCACCTGTTATAAATCACTACTGTGATTTGGTCATAGACAAGATAACTGCCATCAAAACTGAAGCAATTTTTTTATCACATGTCGCAAGTGTGATTATATGATTAATCACAGGTGATTGGTATGAAATTCCATCCCTGTCGGCGAATAACCCGCTGTAAAAGCTTGTACTAAATAAATTAACTTTGACTTCTAAAGTATTTTGTCCAAACACCTTTATTGTTACTTTATACTTAAGTAGCTTAAAGCTAATTGTAGCTATTACTAAAAATTAAAAAACAATCGAAAACAATATCCATCAATCAAATTACTTATTGTTTCATAATTACTAAATAGTGTTTGTTTATCTATTTGTTAATAATAAACAGAGTCGTTTACTCTTCCCATGGCGCTCATTAAGGATCCTAATGAGTTCCGCCCCTACCTTATACCCTTGTTTAAGGATGTCATTCAGTTATCGTATATCATTCACATAAGATGGGTTACAGTAACCACTGTCTGTGTGTCAGCCTACATGAAAAGGGCGATCTTAGTGATTTTTGTTCTTTTCTTGTCGTCTATTCGAAGCTTTCGAAACTTTGGTGAGTAAAGACAATTACTAGTGGTGTGGGAGATCGGATACGAATATGGATCATTAGCCATGAAATAAGATTATTTATTATTTAGTGTTTCTAACTTTAAAAAAGAAATTACCAAGAATTATTCTATCCTATTTACAAAGATTCGAGGGTTAACAGAGATAGCCACTTGCTATCTTATAGCTGTTAATAGCAAAAATTAGTATTGTTATTACTACATTGCATGATTAAATATTTAATTGTATCAAAATAACTTAAATATCACAAACTTTGAAGATCCGTTTATCTCTCGTCAAAAAGATAAGAATACAGAATTGTTTTCTCCCGCGGATATACACAGATATAACCTATTTCCATTTGTGGGTCACTGTTTCGTTCCAAAGTGTAGTTGCATGATGTGTATTAAGCCTTCAGCAGTCGTCAAGAACTGCAAAAAATACTAAATCAATTTTAAAAACTCCTTAGTTTTATTATATTAGCATAAATAAAACTAGTCATAATACAAATAATATAATAAAAACTAATAACGGTTCAGTGAAAGTTTTTAGTGAACTGAAAGTTTTTCCGTGTACAAGTCCTCTTTTTAAAAACAATTCATATGTAATTTTGTGAGACTTTTGTTATTACAAAGACGGGAATTATAAACATGTGAGTGGGTATTTTAAATAAAATTTTGTGAATACTTGAATTTGTCGTGAATATGTTTAATATAGATTTATTTGTATATATTTTTTCATTAAAATAATACATCGACGCGGTTCGCACATTACAATTAGAAGTGAATTTAAGTCGGTGTCTCAAGAGGGACTGGTTCAACCACAATTTAAAGTTTTAAAAAATACGACGCCTTATTTTAACGCCACTTTGTGAGCACCCATTCCATAATTAAATATCTTGATAACCCAAAAGTGTATAAATCTTCAAAATTAGAACAATTATTTTTCTTATCAGTATACACAAATACTATAAAATTATAATACCTAACGATACTCCTTTCTCCCTTTAGACATTTTGTATTGACACCTCGTGTTTGGACTAAAAGTGGATTACTTACTTACTAGTTACAACTACTTTTAGCTCATTTTTGGGGTTGTTTCTTTTAAAAATATATATATAAGATATCAGTTACTCTGTTTTATCTAATTAAGAATTCCGTGGAGATTTAAAACGACCTATTTAAGTTCGCATAGTAGGTATTCAAAGATTCAAAACATCAATCTGATGAACCAAGTTCCGTGTAAGACAGAATGAAAATAAAACAAATGTTATATAAATTGTATAAATTATTACGAGTCCTTGACACGTTTAAATTTTGCAAGATATCAAAGAGTCTATCGTTGCGTAAAGTAAGGTCAAAGTACAATTATTCTATTGTAATAAAAATACTCGTATTGAATATTAATATTATAAGTACTTCATGCATATTTTACAGGTATCCATATATTTTAGAGATTCAAATTATAGAGGTTGGCATATCGTCATCATTTATTCATATTTTTATATACCAGTATAAAAGGAACTGTCATTTGAATAAAGTTTTATACCATTATAGGTCAAAATATATACTGCATCTCTATGTTCAAATGTACATAGCCTGTATAGTTTTATGTAGCCTGTTATATATATATTTTTATCTTAAATTACACATACTGATTGAAAATTTTAGGTTTATATTTTGATCTGCATTATTTACACGTGCTGTTTAAGTAACTATCTGCTTAAGTGGAAATTGAATACCACGGCAATTTTATAACATACTTTAAGTAACACCAGTCTAGAGAATACAAGCCCTGAATAACACGTTTTCACGAGCACGTCGCCCGCGTCAGCTTTTGTTCAGTAAAGTGAAATAAGTATAGGACTGCTCGGATGGCGTAGTGGTTGAAGCGGTAATCTCGCCGCTTCCTACTGCACTGAGTGTAGTTGGTTCGATCCCTAAATGGAACAACACTTTGTGTGATCCGCAAAGTACGTTTAAATGGCAGTTTGTAAAGTCCCCCACGACACAGGATATATTTCCAGTGCAGGAATTAAACCGTATTAAAAGTTATATTTTGTTTGGCAGGCTCCTCCGACCGGTGTCAGTGCAGGGCATGATGGAACACGCCCTGCAGCACCGAGAGCGCGTCGGCGTTCAGGACTTCGTGCTGCTCGAGGACTTTCGTTCCGAGGCCGCCTTCATCGACAACCTGAAGAAGCGTTTTAACGAGAACATCATCTATGTAAGTAACCTTAGTCTTACGAGCGTATTGCTTTTTTTGTAATGATCTAGGGGCCAACCGAGCAGCGTGCTAAAAAGATTTCCATTCCATTTCCATTCCAGATTTATTTTTAGTGCTGGCACAAATCTTTTTAATAAAAAGAAGGGACCGAAAATATACTTGAGCAATTTTACCTGACCGTGAAACTCGTGACTTGACTCACTGACCCCGAAACAGGGGGGTTGGAAGTTTGTATGGGGAATCAATAACCGCTGCACCGATTCACATGTAATTTGATATGGAGATAGTTTGATTCTTGATAAAGGACATAGGCATAGACCCGCTTTCGCAACATTTTTCACTGATAGTACAGCTAAAAGCTAAAAGATTTTTTTTAAATATTAAATATTTTTCTAAACATGTTTATTGATAGTATGTTATTATGACTTCGGGTATAAGGAACGGTCAATGTCACCAAAGATTATCCTCTTAAGAAGCCTGTGGTCTCATAAACGAATATATCTACTAGATTAACGAATTAATAATAATATAATATTTTCGGACATCTGACACACAACGCCATCTAGTTTCAAACTAAGCAGATCATAGTACATGAAAGCTTGAATTACTGATATAGAATAGTTATATAATTTTTTTTGTAAATACATAATAATAATTGTAAATACATACAAACGCCGAAAAAAATATTTGCAGATCATACAAACATTTGATCCGACCCGGGAATCGAACTCAAGGCCTCGGCACAACAGTCGCATATTTTACACTTTTTTTAATTTAATATGGGGCAAACGAGCAGAAGTCCGTGTGGTGACGGATTAAGAATACAAATTGTCACCACCCCAATTCATCCCGTGGGTGTCGTAAGAGCCGACTAAGGGAGCAAACTATGCAGGACAACAGCACTGCAAAGAGAAGGAAAACTTGAAACAAACCCTATACCAACCCGTCTGGCCAGCGTGGTATAGTAGGCCAAAACCTCCTTTCTAAGGAGAGGCCTATGTCCAGCAGGGGACTAGTATAGGCTGTTGATGATGATGATGATGATGATGATGAAACGAGCAGACGGGTCCGTGTGGTGACGGATTAAGAATACGGAGTGTCACCCTCCCTATGCATCCCATGGGTGTCGTATGAGGCGACTAAGGGAGCAAACTACGCAAGACAACAGCACTGCAAAGAGAAGGAAATCTCGAAAAAAAAACAACCCGTCTGGCTAGCGTGGTATAGTAGGCCCAAACCGCCTTTCTAACTAGAGGCTTATGTAAAGCGGTGGAATATTAAAGGCTGTTGTTGATGTTGTTGTTGAGCAGACGGGTTTCTGATGGAAAGCGACTACCGCCGCCCATGAACGCCTGCAACTCAGGAGTCACAAACGCGTTGCCAGCCGTTGGGCCGTTTTCTTGAAGGTCGTATCGGTCCGGAAATACCGCAGCCGATAACTTGTTCCACAGTCACAGTAACGTGTGGAACGATAACGGAAGGTTGCGGCCGCTATTAGTCCAAACAATTCCTCGGTGGACTCTCCATGATATATACGATAGAGAATGCAGAGCGAAGCTACATCTCTACGTAACGCCAAGGGATCGAGCCGGTCGCAAATCTTTTGGCTATCAACGTTTCGAATCGTTCTTCTTTGGATTCGGTCCAGAGGGAGAAGCTGGTATTGTAGTGCCCCTGCATAGAGATGAGAACAGTATTCCATATGCGGTCGGACTTGCGCCTTATAGAGTTCAGCACACCGAGCTTCTTCGAGGACAATTTGACCTTACCCTCTAAATGACGCGAAACTGGACTTCGCTCGATATCAATATCAATTATCATAATATTGATTAATAAAAAACCTCATTAAGATTTTTAATCAAATTCGTTCGTTCTATAACTTCATCACTAAAGGTCCTCAAATTCAAATTCTTATTAATATGTAAAAAATACTTTTGTTTTCTCTTTAAAAAACGTCAATTCCCGCATTAGGAATATATCCCGTGTCTCTATACCAAATTTCACCTAAATCGGTTCAGCGGTTTAAACGTGAAGAGGTAATAGATAAACAGATAGATATGCTTTAGCATTTGTAATATTAAGTATTTATCAGTAGGCTGGTCACTATAGTACAGGACAGGCTCTGCCTAGTTATGAATCAGACGGCCGTATGTAAGATGTGTGCGGTTATTATTATTGTTATAAATTATCATCATTCTCTGAACCTTTTCCCAACTCAGTTGGGGTCGGCTTTCCAGTCTAACTGTGATGCGGCTGAACTTCGATATTTTCCGTGAAGCGACTGCCATCTGACCTCCACAACCAATGGTCTAATGACCAATGGCGATATCGAACTTCCAAGTTAGACTGGTTGGACTTTTGAGGGCTCCAACTACCCGTAACGACTGCCATAGATGTTTGTATGGCAACCGGGTATAAATTATCATAGTCAGGATTTTTATAATTTATCACAAAATTTTCAGGTTCGCTTTGTTAGATTTTACAACCTCTATATATATTATATCAGTTTGTTTGTGTTCGATCTATTGTTGATACTGCTGCAGCTGAGGTATTGTTTCCACAGAATTTTCTGAAATAATTAATAGTTATTGTTTATTATCGAAATGACAAAGCGTAGACATAAAAAAATGCCTTTGTTTTATGGTTTTGTTATATCAGCGTATGAACACTATATGAAAATTGTATATGGTATATACATTTATACAAAAAATACCGCTATTTAAAACAAACTCAAATATATTGAAACTAATAATGCAAAGTTGAATGGAAATTCCAAGTTTAATGGAATTATATTCCTGAAGTGAAATGACATTAAGGATTGCATAGCTTAGTAGGTTCTTACGACACCCACGGGATAAATAGGGATGGTGGCAATCCGTATTCCTAATCCGTCACCACACGAAGAATGATCTAATAAAATGCAATCCTTATCGAATATCTAATCCAATGCAATCCTTATCAAAAGTTTTGCCCCCCTGTACCGAATGACGAACTAAACTTCCTCTTTAACCAGGTCGAAATATGTGCTTTTACTTTCCATGAGGGGCTAGAAACCATAATTTTGGGGCTTTCTTCTAAGTTTGATAATGCCTTATGGAGATCACGGTATATTCTTCTTCGGTGGTCCTACAATTTTTTACAATTTTATGATTTTTCCATTCTGCAGATTATATAGTCAGGATTTGCCTTTTTAAACACTTTATATTATAATAATTTCTTCCTTCCTCCAGACGTACATCGGGAACGTGCTCATATCGGTGAACCCGTACAAGAACTTGCCTATCTACACTGAGGAGAAGACCCAGCTGTACTACAAAAAGGCTTTCTTCGAAGCACCCCCACACGTGTAAGTCACATAATTACACAGAATTCGTTAGATAGGTTACTATCACGAATCATTTTTGAACAATCCTATTTGATTTCAATTTCGTTGTTACTGTATTACGAACAAATACTTTATGGCATCAGTGTAACTGTGGCCTTAGAATTGGTATAAAAATTAATCTCTGGTTCCAACAAGAGTCACCGCTAAGTGATATGCGATAAAAGTATAATATTCATAATTAAATTCGATTACCGTATCAACTTTTACGACTTATCCACAACCATAAACAGCTTAAATACGAGTGTTATCAAATCGACACACATCATATGATCATAAAATCAACACTAATTTCTGTCGTTCAAATACCTGTGATGTTACATCACTAATGGTGAAAGATCGCAGCGCCATCTAGAACCAGTTTACTACTGAATCTGCATCGCGTTATGAAATTTACACGCTCTTTTTTATACAACCGCCTAACCGAATAACCTGATAGGGGAATATTTCGACAGACAGTTATCATTGATATCAAGCCCTGTATCAAGACACGCTATTGCAAATTAGTTTCTTAGCTTTGTCTTGACTGCCTGAACTCTAAACAGTTCGGTTTGGTAGAGACTATGGGAAGACACTAGATGGGTGGACGCAGTTGCTTTAGTTTAAAAGTAGACCTTTTTAATGGACATAGCGTACGTCGTGTATAGTAACGCTGTATTATCTTTTAATTGGAGTGGATGTATATGATAAAGACTGGTGGGTATCTCAAATGATAAAAGTTTACTAAGAAAGAAAATAAATCGATAAAAAATTTGAAGATTTTTTGAGATAATTGTCTAATTTCCAAAGGTTTACCATTCAACGCCAAGGTAACGATAGATTTATACGAGAGATTAGCTCCTAACAGACGGGCCTAGATTATTCTACTTTTTATATTTTTATAGTATTCTCTTCACTGTGTGAGAGACTAAATGTAATCATGTATATTATTACAACCTACTAAAGAAAGAAAGTTGTCTGCATGGTGACGGATTAAGTACGGAGTGTCACCACCTCTATTCATCGTCCCGTCTGGCCAGCGTGGTATAGTAGGCCAAAACCTCCTTGCTAAGAAGAGGCCTATGTCCAGCAGTAGCTGTTTATGTTGATGAAAGAAAGAAAAACTTAAATTCTTTACTTTCATATCTTCATTTTAACTCAGTATTGTCAGTACGTAAAGTCTACGTGATGTAAGAGACGTTAAACATGACAGAAACCGTACTTAGGTATTTAAATAGTTTCTCCGACTAGTTTTTAAATAAAAGGAAAAAGTGAACTACTTCATTGTGACTGGGGGCACTCAGATTACAAACTGACAAATGTCATTTCAAGAGATACGTGTGGGAAAATAGGTTTTGATTTTATCTATAAGTTGTATCGACTTGTCAAAGAAACTGATATGTGTCATGGTTTCGAGAAATACAATCATATCAGTAACACACTTTTGTATACTTATAAGAATATTTTTGTGTGTATTACGACAGTAAACAAAAATAATGGAGTTTCTCTGTTATTAAATAATTATATTTATTGTTTAAATCTCAATGTAGGTCTCTGAATCAAATTAGTTTTAAATAATTTATTTCTAAAAAAATCGTTTACACATAAACGGGTGCGTCACATCTTAAATCTGACCACAGATAAAAAAATATAAGTAACTGACTTAGTTATATATTTTTTTAAATCTGTCTGTCTGTGCTATGTATTGCAGACCTAAATGGTTATGCTCGAAGCGCCAGTATTGCCGTATCTAATCTTGGTTACATTTTCTTTTTATTAATTATCTGACTTTATTACAAATACGTATTTAGGTACGAGTATAATAATGTTACTATCTACACAAAAACTTTTTTTTAAGATTTTGAAAACAAGAGTTTTAATTTTTCCTAATACTTTTGAAAGGAATATCTCAGAGGAACCACAGTTTTTTTATGCCAATGGATTTATTCTCTCAGCGGCTGGGGTTAACAAGTTACATTTGACCTACGTAAAGAAAATTGTTAAAAGTCGGGATAGAAGCAGATGAGATGAGATAACATTCTACATTGTTACTAAATACTAAATAGTACATAGAACTGGCTCAAGCCGGGTATGAGTCTCGCCTCGTCCGCTGTCCGCCCTGACCTCCACATGACATACCCTTTATAATGACTGACTCATAACTAAAGTTAGGTGTTGGTTGAACAAAGATATCGTAATAGACACTTTGCGTCTCACGATAGCGACACTATTATTTCGAATTCGACGATAAGTACTGTCGTTATCTTTTCAATATAAACGTGATGTGTGTTTTTATACAGGATGTTACAGAAAACTGTGGCAACGCTAGTACCTGGCAAAAATGGCTTAAAAAATGAATTTAGAAATTTTTTAAAATTCTTTTGTCACTGTCAATGCAACATAAAAAAAGCCGTGTGGTGTCGTGGGACACCCGATAGGAACGAAGTTGTAACGATCCAGTAAAACTGATTCGGCACATTTTAATTACAACGCCATCTATGAAAGCGGCTATTACCTACATATTTTTCAGTTGGTTTCTAATTAAAACAATTTATACATTGGTAAAATCTCCTTGAGAAATGATTTCCTATCTATTCGATAGATGGCGCTGAATGACTGACATAAAACGATAGAAATGAAAATATCTGGCTTGCTTTCTATAAGAGAGAGAGAGACAGACAGAGAAACATGCGACGCCGCACAGCTTACAATAGCTTACTATAGCAAAAAGTGTCGTGACCAATTTTCGTAAGAATTTTTTCCGTCTAGCCCCCTTTCACAACGCCCGATAAGGAACTTCGTTCCAATTATTTTGAATTTAACTGAAAATTTCTATAATTTATACATTTTTAGAAAAATGTACCACTTCAATCGTGTTAGCTGTCAACAGCAACTACTAGCTTACAACCTTAAAAATCACTTATAACTTTAAAAAAAATTGAGCACAACTTTCTGTAACTTTGTAACTGTAAATTTCAGTAACTCTGTAAATTTACCTACTCTTACTTTACCCTATGTAATATACTAAAACTGCTTATGCCTTTGTCTATAGAAATACCTTCTGGACTGATTGACAAAATGTACATTAATACAAGGCGCCAGAAGCTGTTCGTTTCTACCCTTCCAGCTTTTGTTTGATCTAGTTTTCACTTCTAATGTATGATTATATTTTTTTACAGATTTGCAATCGCCGACAACGCCTACAGGTCTTTAGTTTACGAACACAGAGAACAATGTATTTTGATCTCGGGTATGTACTTCTTAACCTTTGTTATTAAACATACTTATTACAATGATACCACTGTTTAATCTGTTACATGTACAATATTTTACATAGAAAAAATCAACATATGATAGAGCTGTAGAATATAGAATGTAGAAGAAAACTATACTCAATCATAAGACATAGTTTGTGGTTATGTTTGCTTAACATCTTGAAGTTCTGGGTTGAAATCCAAGAGGGAAAACTTATAAGGTATTTCTTTGAGGATATTCTAGATAACACAACTTATTTTAAAAATATTTATCGTAGAGTGAAGCCAAAAATATAGCTGAGTTTTCAACAGTCCTCATTCCCTTCAAATATTTTTATATAGGCGTGGATATCTTAGAAGTAAATCAATTTATCTATTTAAAAAATAGGTGAATCTGGTTCTGGTAAGACCGAAGCATCCAAGAAGGTTCTGGAATACATCGCCGCCCGCACAAACCATCTCCGCACCGTGGAAACTGTCAAAGACAAACTTCTACAAAGCAACCCTTTATTAGAAGCCTTTGGTAACGCCAAGACTCATAGGAATGATAACTCCAGTCGATTTGGCAAATACATGGACATCCAGTTCAACTATGAAGGAGCACCTGAAGGAGGACACATCCTCAATTATCTTTTGGAGAAGTCCAGAGTCGTCAGCCAGATGTCTGGAGAAAGGAATTTCCATATATTCTATCAACTACTTGCGGGAGCCGATCAGGAATTGTTGAGACGTTTGAATTTACAAGGAAGGCCTGAGGCATACAAATACACCACAGACATGGTAAGTATTTTAGTAGATACTGTAGAAAATAACTTTAAAACGGATTCCGTTCAATTCGTGCATCAAATTACAAAGCTCTAAATTTAATATCTGGTTTATAGAAGTAATCGTCAGAGTAACCACAAGTTTTCCTATAAAATAACTTGCTTCTTTGATTACAAATAAGTTGTGGTTTATTTTAAGGTAATAAGATAATTTACTGTGAGTACAGAAAGACACAATATCTTTTTACAGATCTTGCTACTTTTTTTCATTGTTCTGTCTCAAAAATCTACTTATTACAAAGTATTCTTAAGTACTGATAGACTCATTCTTGTTCTTATTCTACAAATGTAGGTAAGTAATCTTTAAAACAGATTTTTAATGAAACTGTTATATATATCTTGTAATAAAAATTCATACATTATTTCCCAGAATACACAACCGAACCAGCGATCGCATGACGCAGCCCAATTCCGCACGGTCCAGGAAGCTATGAAAGTCATTGAAATCGGGGCTTCGGAACAGAATGAAATATTCGAGATCGTCGCCAGCGTCCTACATCTTGGAAATGCCAAGTTTGTACAGAACGAGAAGGGGTTCGCCGAGATTCTGTCTCATGATGCCAACACGGGCAACGTGTCAGAAGTAAGTACGGCTTCTTTAGGTGGATTTGCGTTTAAGATCGTTTAATTTATGGGACTTATTTTATAGGTCAGAGAAACTGCCAGACAGGCGATTTCTTTACCGATCAAAGCAAAAAAAAACCTTGCTGTGACTACTGTGTATACTTCATGTAAATTCTGTAAATAACATTGGTTTACAAAATGTAATCAGTCACTTCCGAAAGAATCTGACCTATTCAAATTTTTTAGCCTCCAAAAAGTTCAGCAGAAAATGAATGTTGAATTTGACTTATTTATAATGATCTCTCAATTGAATGACTTAGATGATATTCTTAAAGATGTGATATTCCATTGATATCCAGATCTGTTTAATATAAGGCAATCGAATAAAAACATTGATAGCGCGATGCATGATCATTTAAAATTAGAATTAATTAAATGTCATAATTTGTGTTCAATTATATTATTATTGCCGTGTTTGTAACGAAGTGTTTCCGAATGACTCCTCGTGAGTAAATACTCATGTTTGTTTATATCGTTCATAGTTCGTAGTCCTAACTATGTCCATTGTTCGCTGTGTTTATATAAATATCGGTAGTATTATCGTGCCATTGTCGATCGCTCTTGTGACGTCACTTTACGTAATACCATTGGCGGGGTTGAGTAGTATTTTAATTACTTGTGATTGAAATACGTATTTGGTATTTGTATTACAAATAACTACGTAAAAATGTAATTTGTAATAGGCATTACAAACTGCTCACTGAGGTGTTTTGTAATTTTTATTTCAAATACTAACGGACAACGATTTTGAATCACATACGTTGCGAAGTAACTTCAGTGCTATGTATCAATTACTTTTTTTAAATGCGTCATTGGCCCGCACTGAAATCTTAACCAATCGCAGCGCCGCTGTCTCTGTCGAGAGTGAGTTGATGTGCAATAAACTCACACTTCGCCCTCTGATAGTAAGTGACTATTGCCGTCCGTGGACATGCAACCCAAGGGACACAAGTTCGTTGCCAGTCTTTAACTGCCTCTTACGCCCAGAATGGGGTAAGGGGGAGGGGGGCAGATCGGGCTCCGATACCGTCACTCATTCGGTGAAGAATAACGAAAGAATTGCGTGCACACTCAATAATATTTGCTACTTTAAATTAAAATGCACACTTACTCCATTAATTTTATAAACGCAAAACTTTGTGACGATGGATGTTTAGATGTTTGTTACTCAATCCCTTCAGGATCTGATAAAGCAATTGGTTGAAAAAATCGACATTAACGTGAGTGACGCTCGTGGCATCGTCAATACACAAAGATACTTTCTCATTTTAGGGTTTTAACACGAACAAGGACCAAACAAAAATGTCTAATTTAAATGTATAAGTAATCACCGAAAGCCTGCTTCTGCCATCTACCGAACAGATTCCCTGAGAAATATTCGTGAAAACCTTACTAAGAAGAACGAAACCAGCTTTAGAAATATTGTTTCAGTAGAGCTTATTACTAGACTCATGGCTATAACACACAATATGCTTGGTACAACCAGTTCTGATAAAGATCTCAACAAAATGACGCGGCAATTCATATGAAACACTCACTCTGTGTTCCGATGCGACTGATAACCTTTTATTACAAGAACTGAATAATTCGTGGTATCTACAGTTCAAGGATCAGTGCCGTTGACCTACAAGTCGTGTAATACTGTCAAATATTTCTTTTTTCCTATTGAAAAATTTGACTTGATATCGCTTTTTAAGTTTTAACTACTTAACCGAACATCGTAAATTTCACATATATTTTACGTATCAAGGCCATAGAATAGGAAGCCAGAAGGCCAATTTTCGTAATAAAAGTTCGCTCACAATTTAGTTCTGATCAACTCTCGATTTCACAACTGTCAAAAATGCTCTGCTATTTTCGTAGTAAAATAGCAGAGTATTACTAAGACTAACAGACTGCCGATTCAATTTTCGTTCGCAATACGATTTAATCACCGAACGTCAAGTCCCAAAAGAAAAAGGAATTTTACAAATAAGTTCTTAAATGACGGCGTTCTGAAGTAACAAACATATAAAGAGACTACCAAACTGACAAAGTCCTCCATTTTTAAGTCGATTAAAAATAATCTTTACACTGCAAAGGCCGCGAAAATAAAATAATTTAGTATTATCTTAAATAATTTGCACTTAATTGCGTTTTTCTAAACGTGAATATTTATTTTTACCTATCGATATTAAATACACTACACTATACGTACTACTATTAACAAATGATATATATCAACCATTAAATTATAAATTACGTACTTCTGTTGCTCTAATCTATACATTGAGCGTCAAGTTCTTCAACAGGCTTAAAGCAATCTATACAAAGAAATGAAATTGAAGTGTCTGTTTGTAATGTCAAAATAATAGGTTTTTTCATGCTCACACGGTGATTTGTACGATATCCATGCCTAAAAACCAGTTTATCAGACAGATGTAGGGTATGAGAATTCCTTGTTGTGCTAGAACCTCCCCTCAAACCTAACATTCCTAAACTACGCTTAAAGCATGTTTTGTTCACTCCTTCTAGCTCCTCAAAGTAAACGCTATAAAACTCCGACAAGCCCTAACAAGCCGAACGATCGAAGCCCGAGGAGACGTCGTCAACACTCCCTTGGACATCGAACAAGCGCAATACGCCAGAGATGCCCTGGCCAAAGCTATCTATGACAAGCACTTCAGCTGGCTGGTTTCCAGGCTGAATTCTTCAATGACGCCGAAAAATGTGGAATCGTTATCGTCCGTCATGGGCATTCTCGATATCTATGGATTTGAGATCTTCCCAAAGAATTGGTAAGCAATTTAATTAACTATCTAATCTAGATTACCGTGACCTATTTAATCCCGTGGACCCTATCTTTTGAGGAAGTCAGTTCAACTAGCGACGATATAATTTTTTGAAGTAAAACCTCTAATTCTAGTGATAAACTTTTTAAATGTAATAGAAGAATTGCCAAATAAGCTACAATCGTCAGAGGAGAACTTGCCTTAAGGATTGGGCTAATTTAGATTTTTAGGACCATGGTCGATAATTTTAAATTATTTTAAAGAAGATAAGACTGTCTTAGTCACATGTAAATGAAGCATCCCAAACGAATTTCGTAAGAACATCAAAATAAATGTATCAGTACCTCTTTAATTCATCTTCCAGCTTCGAACAGTTCTGCATCAACTTCTGTAACGAGAAGCTGCAGCAGCTGTTCATTCAGTTGACCCTAAAGCAAGAACAGGAGGAATACTTGCGAGAAGGTATCGAGTGGGAGCCCGTGGAATACTTCAACAATATCGTGATCTGTGACCTTATTGAAGCCAGACATACAGGTAACACTTTGATTGTTAAATATTAGTGATCGTTTTTAGTCTTTACTTGTTCAAAAACAATTCCACTGTTAAAGAAATCATTATTTATGCCCAGTTTATTTTTTAATACAAGTAATAAAAGCTTTCGAAAAATATTAAAATTTCAAGTAGGTCAGAACAATATTTTAAAGAATTCATTTTTATTGAATAACCTTATGATATTCTTCATTTACACATTATAATATATCTTACATCTGTTGGTGTCCCTTAAACACAGATCTCTTTGTATGTATCTCGAAATTAAAACTACTTTTCGGTGTAGGTATCATCTCAATCCTGGACGACGAATGCCTACGTCCGGGCGACGCCACCGACCACAGCTTCTTGGAAAAGTTGTCACAGAAGCTGGACGGCCACAAGCACTACAAGTCGCATAGACGCTCTGACATTAAGACGCAGAAGATCATGGGACGCGATGTAAGTATCCAGATCCAGAAATTATTGCTCAAAAATGTTTTTGTGTCTATAATTTTACCTTTTATACAGTCCCCGCAACATAATAACCAATTCGGGAGGTGTGTTAACTAAAAGAACCGGCTGGTTTATAGACAAGTGAGAAAATGACATTCTTACTGCACATCTCGGCCCCAAGCACCAAGAAAAGCCTTCACTCTTGTGGCAAAATGTTTTGACTAATTGTTGTAACTATTTGTTTTTGTAACTGGCGAAAAATATTGCCATTGAGCTAAATATTGTTTTACCTTAGCAGGTTTGTACAAAATTCCGAAATTATTCTAACGAATATGCTTCTATGAATTCTCAGATTACTTACTTCACTGGCAATTCATGGCTGGATGGTAGTTTAAGGGGTAGGCAGATTTAGAGGATTCGTAAGGATATGCTCCTAGAAAAAATCTACCTTTCCTACTTGTGTGTAAATAATTTTCCTGTGAATTATATTGACACCTTTTACACTTCTTCATTATGACACTTTTTTCAATTTCAAAAAATCTGTTCTTTCGTTATAAAGGATGACAAAAGGAGAGTGAATAAATATAGAGTTAAATACATTTATCCACTCTCCTTTTAAAAAATAAATATAGACTTATACAGTAGACAGTATAAGGCTGATGGATATTAGTCTACTACTGGATTTTAATCTCTCCCAATGTGCGCTATTGGACACAGTCTGCCGGTCTGCCTTCTGTATCTAGTCCCTTCCAGCAACCTTCTTCTACAGTTCGTCAGTCCATCTACCTAGTCTGATGATATTACTAAGTACTACTTCCAAGCAGATTATTTAATAACCACAAAACACTTCAAAACTTGTAGTTGTGTAATACTCAAATATATTTTAAACTTTCAGGAGTTCTGCCTAGTCCACTACGCTGGTGAAGTGACGTACAGCGTGAACACATTCTTGGAGAAGAACAATGACCTTCTATTCAGGGACATTCAGAGTCTCATGGCCTCCAGTGGCAATACGATTGTCGCTACTTGCTTTAAGGTAACAAACAACTTATGACGATGTCTTTGGACTTCCTACTTAAATTATTAACTTGAAAAATCATGATGGTTGTACCAACGAAGAAGAAAGAGGATCATGTCTAACTCAACTCTCTGAATTTCAGAGTAATAGCTACCCAACATATAAACTATACTGTCTACTTAGCAAATTTTACGCAAAATACTTAGACGAGACTTGTTTCAAACTGTTTATAATAAACTTACTCTAATCGCAGGATCTCAAGCGAGACTCTAAGAAACGCCCGGAGACTGCAATCACCCAGTTCAAGAACTCTTTGAACGAACTTATCAAGATCCTGAGCAGCAAGGAGCCTTCCTACATCCGATGCATCAAGCCCAATGACAATAAAACACCAAGTAAGTATAAGAGAATATTTCTGTACAAAAAAAAAACAAAAACTCAACAAGAAAAATGAATAATAAAGCCTTTATTGGCTCAAGATCATTTTTAGAGTTGACTGAGCCCGACTCTTCGGATACCCGAAGAGTCAGGCAGAACCACGCACACTTTGACGACTTTAATTTAGCCCAATAACGTAATAGGGGATCAGTCTATTGTTTTCATCTGGACACTTAAGAATGGGATGAAAAAAATCATGGTATATTGAAAGGGAAGGGTTGCCTATCCTTCCCTTTCAATATACCATTAATTCATGTTGTTGTTGGTGTTGTTGAAGGAAAGTCATTGGTAGGAAAGATGAGGCACTTGAGATTGCTTGTCTTCAGTGATATTGAGTTATTGATTTTATTATACAAGTTTTAGGATTACTAAAATATATTATAAATATTTTAAATTAACTTTATTATTATTTGTCTTCTAGTGCAATTTGACGACAAGCTGGTGTCCCATCAAGTCAAGTACCTGGGTCTCATGGAGAATTTGAGAGTGCGGCGAGCTGGATTCGCGTACAGGAGGACTTACGAAGCTTTCCTTGATCGGTGAGATGAATCGGATTCTAGCAGTACCTTTCCTAATCATGATGATTTTGACGAACTAGAAGATAAAGCTTTTTTAAACACATACCACAACCTACTACACTTCTAGGCATAAATGCGTAATTTCAAAATGGTGAATTCCACAACTCACAAAAGCATAGCAGAACTAACTAAATGGCAAAATTTAGAATACATATAAAATACAATCAATAAAATAAAATTCCCAAAATAACTAATGAACACACATGTGGTGTGATTTTACAGGTACAAGTGCCTGAGCCGGGATACTTGGCCACAATACCGCGGTCCCGCCAAGCAGGGAGTGCAGAAACTGGTAGAAGTTCTCGCCTACGATAAGGAAGACTACAGGATGGGCAAGTGAGTATCTTTTTTATTATTACATTCATCATAGTCAAGAATAACTAAATAACTCAATAAATAATATTTTAAGCACGCAGCTCCTGCGTGTATGTATTCTTCGCTAGAGTTGTCAGGTGGTCCACCCTTCAGATTTTGCAATGATTAAAAGAGAAACCATTCAAAGTCAATCATCCAGAAACCGAGGCGCTACGCAAAATCTTATTGTAAAGATGATACACCTGATGATGACAATTATGTTGGTAATGCTATTTTATTCGAGTATATCATAACATGCTCCATCCTAGTCCCATTCATCCAAATGAGGATATTCAGTTGAATATGTGTTGTTTTGTATTTATTTGGATTAGTTACTTATTTCTACAAATAATTTTTTTCTGAATGTACTTAGCACAATTACTTGTTTATTGACAGATTTCTTTTGAGATTTGGTTTTAAATTTTATTTCATTGAGTACGTGTTGTATTTAATTATTGTGGTTAGCAGGGTCTACAATTCAACTTAACCAATTCTTCAATTTAAATAGGACTTTTGTCGAATATGAGCTACTACTCCGGATCCTATATTAGCTGGCTTTAATATTTTATCTTTGTATTCATGTATAATTAAAATTTCAGCACCAAAATTTTCATTCGCTTCCCAAAAACCCTGTTCGAGACGGAAGACGCTTACCAGATCAAGAAAAACGATATCGCGACCATCATCCAGAGCAGGTGGCGCGGCTACAGGCAACGGAAGCAGTACCTTAAGATGAAGCACGCCGCAATTGTTATCCAAAAGTGGGTGCGAAGGTTCCTCGCTCAGAAGCTCCGCCAGAGGAGGAAGAAAGCTGCCGATGTCATCAGAGCTTTTATCAAAGGTATGCAATTTAAGTTAACTTATTATATGTATATATTGTTTCAAGACTGTGTTGATTTTCGAATTTAAATATTTATTTCATTATACATTTATGTCAATTTATGTCTGACTGACTGACTGACTGACTGCCAAAGCTGTGAAAGCGTCGCAAAGATAGTATCCCTCTGTTGGCCTCTAAGTTCCTTTCCCTCTAAGACACTATAAACCCTCGATTTACGACACCAGCATAATAAAGTTGGCCTCTTTGTTTTAGTTATTTTGTAGGGCGACTCTTCGTCAATATTTATAAAAGATTTAAGGTTAAGTTTACAACTATTTTATGAGTGCCCTTATTTAACAACCCATTAACTCTTAAAGGATTCATTACCCGTAACGGCCCTGAGACTCCTGAAAACCGTCGCTTCCTGGGCATTGCCAAAGTGCATTGGTTGAAGCGTCTGTCCACCAAGTTGCCCACCAAACTGTTGGACCTGTCGTGGCCACCCTGCCCGGCGACCTGTCTTCAGGCTTCCAAAGAGCTTCAAAAGCTGCATCGAGTTCATCTCGCCAGGAAGTACAGACTGGCTCTGTCGCCTAAAGACAAGAAACAGTTCGAGCTGAAGATACTGGCTGAGAAAATGTTCAAAGGTAAGTTCTAGTCACTAGATATTTCAAATATTGATGGGCTAGATGAGTTTCAAAGTTGATTTTTGAAATGGGTTTTCGCTCCGAAATTAATGAATAGCCTTATCCAAATTAGATAGAACATCGGTTGACAAACAAAGGAAGAATTACCGACTTCGTTTGTTTTAACCGATTTATTATATCAATTATTTAGGATATTTATGAGTTACCAAATCTTGTTTCTCCTTTTATTGAGGACAGTAATTCTGTTTACTTGAATTAACAAGTAACTATATATGTTTATATATTGTAGGTAAGAAGAAGTCCTACCCGCAAAGCATCGCACAGCGCTTCCAGGAGGATCGGCTCACGCCCGATCACCAGGTGCTCAGGAATACTTTCATGGCCTCACCGTCCTGGCCCACTGGCGAACAACTTATTGTGAGTATACTCTAATACAAAAATTTCCATATATATATAGTAATAATATTTATGGAAAATCCATAAGTAACCAATATGTTATCCAATCCCGAAACGTTTTAGTAATGTTCTTTGTTCAAAGAGAACAACGTCCAAAAATGATACCCTGTGGCACTCCAATAATAGACAACTAACTTCTATCCCTCCACGGATACATTTTAATAAATGGGTAACTTGTGACTGTTTTTAAAGTAAATAAAAATGTTTTTGTGAATGTAGCTATCACTGGATGAAAGATTTTTTTTTACTTTTCGTGACAAATTTAAGTGACTCAATCAAAGGCCTGTGCTAAAGCAACTAACTTTCTTGCATACCTAAGACGTATTTAATATAATAGAGAGACGTTAAAATCTTCTCAAAAGCCAACCCAAGATATTCTCTTTTATTCGTAGTATTCGTGCGACGCAATTAAGTACGACCGTCGCGGTTACAAAGAGCGTGAGCGCACACTCCTCGCATCCGACAAGGCGCTGTACGTACTCGACGCCAGCAATCGCAAGACGTACAAGCTCAAGCATCGCCTGCCCATCGACAAGCTTCGAGTCGTGCTCACCAACGCCACAGACACGCTTGTGCTTATTAAGATTCCTCATGATTTAAAGAAGGATAAGGTAAGGCCGAAAAGACTTTTGATCTAATATCGTTAATTCCATTGAATATTTAAGACATTATAAAACCCTTCTAAATTCAAATAATGCACATCTTATTCTGTGGGTAGACGTATAAATATGATTTTTATATTCATAAATAAAACTGTTTATACTGAATGTGGTTAATGTACCGTAATCAATGGTCTCATGATTTATTTCATACTTCACTATATTGATATCGTCTGTCCAGGGTGACCTTATCATCTCAGTTCCACATGTGATCGAGGCCATGACGATTGTTACCGATTACTCCAAGAAGCCGGAGCTTATCGAGATCGTGGACACAAGGACGTAAGTATTTTTTCCGTACCTTTGAATTATTCAAGTAATTGCTACTTTTAAAAATCTTAATATGCCATAACCATAAAGGTGCCTAAAATTCAAAAGTTGTGTGTGAAACCAAATAAAATTTGATAAGAAGTGTTAGTTTTTGTTAAATTGAGTTTGTCAATCATTATTTTCCAGAATCGCACATGACTTAGTGAATGGCAAAAAGGGCACCATCGAAGTGACCACCGGACAGCAACCCACCATCCACCGCGCCAAGAGCGGCAACTTGCTCGTTGTATGTACTATGTATACACTAAACTTCATACTTGGAAATATAAGGCACTACACCGTCACACACTGCAATTTAGGAAGCAGACACTTACAAAATTTTAACTATTAATCTATGTGTAATAAATAATTTAGGAAGCAAACGCACTACCAAATGGTAAACTACAAAAAGTTTTAATGCATACTGGCAACACAAGAATACGGAATGTCACCACCCCTATTCATCCCGTGGGTGTCGTGTCGACTAAGGGAGCAAACTACGCAGGACGACAGCACTGCTAAGAGAAGGAAAACTTGAAACAAAACCTATACCAACCCGATTGACGAGCGTGGTATAGTAGCCCAAAACCTCCTTTCTAAGGAGAGGCCTATGTCCAGCAGTGGACTGTTATAGGCTGTTGGTGGTGGTGGTGGCAACACTTGTATTAATGACACATTGGCAACGTATCCGTTTCTACCAATATTCCCTTTCATGATATAAATACTATGCTGACAGCGTTGGTTTAGTTAATCTTTGTTACAATAATTTCTATTATATTTTTAAAATTAAATCACAGTAGCACTGTTTTGCTTTTTATAACACTGTTTCTAGTTTAGTCACCCTTATTTATTTAAATAAGAATTGAGATCTTTTTTGTAATTCATTCCTAGTGATCAATTCTAGTACCACTGGCCTCCAAATTGTGAACAAGACCTAAAGACATGAAAACTTATACCATAGAAATAATTTTACCATATCCGTCGTTTCCATCAGTTTTAACTACGTATTTAACGTTACTAACTATTGTATTATTTTGGCTGGCGTTTTTTACAACTGATCTTTGTTTTATTTTTTACAGGTGGCAACACCCTGAGCTGACCAGTATTCTAAACAATAGTTAATTTAAAAAGGACGTGCGTACCGATAACTTAAATTCCATATGCATTATTCGTAATTATTACTTTAGTGGTATTTATATCAGTTTATATTTCTGCTTAATTGTTTTAAACCTAGAAAGACCTCGTGAGTTTATTATCATTCCTGTTTTCAAATTAGCAACACCTTTCTGGTATATCTAATGTCCATTTAACAGTTTAAAGCAATAAATCATAACGATTTTCTTGAATTTATATAATATTGTTAGTAGGAATAAGAATAATCAATCAAGTATCTACGTATACATACTATATTGCAGAATAATTTGGTATTATTGAGAAAACGGTATATAGTTTTATATCAATGTTGAATAATTTTATTGTGAATAAGTACTTTATGAATTATTTATAATTAAGTACAGAATGTATTAAAACCTTTTTTAAATAAATACAAGAAGAGGGAGCAAAGAAGCGTATTTATAAGCAAAAAAGAGTATTTAACACATCCTATTCTTATTATGAATTAATTTTTTTTTTATATTTGTAAATTGAGATCAATATTATATAAACATAGAATGTATCAAGTCTTTACGTTTTTTATGTGATATAATTTTCATTGAGATTTACGTACAAAGTACTTAGTATTTTTCGTATGCCATACAATTTAGGTACCTATTCGGAGGAATGTGTCAATTATGGTTTATTTTTAAGAAATAAAAATAATATACAACAACAAGTATTTTTTGTATATAGTAACACCAGTATAGGCTATACGGGGGCTATAAGGCCAAAAGCAAAAACGATAAGTCTCCCAAACCAAAGCATTATTCATTCTAATTTTTTTTAATTTTCTATAATTATAGAACTAGTAGGCTTAGTGAACATTATGAACTAGTGTAATTGACACATTTCAGTTATGTATAGACATTAAGCTGAATCAACGGTGCCTAGTGAATGAGAATGAATTATATATATTAGAAGTGTATTTCATAACAGAGTCGGTCCTGGGACCACCGAAACATCTTTTTTTTAGATATTTAGGATCTTTATAGATTTGAATAAACTTTGTATTTTATAGTCTTGAGAATGACAGCGACATAACGTGCAGAATTTTATACTGCAAGTAAATTGCATAAGGGCTCTTGATATCGTTTATTCTGTTGAGTAAAATAGTATATTTAGTAAGAAATCATACGTTCGGCCCATAAAACGTATCCCAAAATATCCAGGAGCGCAAGCTGAAAACGCTACCTTAAAACATTTAAATCCTGTCAATTTCTGTTTTAATAAGTCTACCACTACATTACAAAAAAAAGCACAGCTTTCCTTAGAGCTGAAGAGTTGAAAGTAGTAGTAACAGATTAGCGGCATTCCGGAGTCTTGTAAGCCGAATTCCATTTCACTTATAAAGCGGCTGAAGGCCGTCTGTAGACACCGGCCGTCAGTGCCTTGGTCATTGTAAAGCCAGTTCCAGCAGTCATTTAAATAAATGTATTTTAATATAATTATCTTTTATTTCTGCTTACCCTCGCCCAATGTTATAAAATTAAAACACAATTTATATTTCATCGTAGTATAATTATTTTAAAAAACATTAGGTACATTTTTACAATTACTATTATCAGTTTATGTGATAACAACAATCCAGAGTTACAGTGACAGACAATCGTTCGATGCACGCTTCAGTCTTACACACAGAAGATCATTTTGAGAACAAATTCAACTAATATCTGTTAGGCAGCTTACCCTGTCTTATATCGATTTTTTACATTAAAAAAAAAGCCATTAACATCTTACACAAACAATGTTCAACAGTGGTTGATTAAAATTCAAACGGACAAGTGACATTGGTCTACCAGTTACACATCACGCAAAATATGTATAAAAAAACAAAACGATTATCTCCGAAACTCCGGATTATTCACACGATAAGACATCTTGTCTTATAACTAGTATAATACAAGGGAACATAGTCTTTTAGCCGGCGACTTACCACAATGCTTCATAACCTGGTGTTTAGATACAGGAAAGCAAAAACTCACAAATTTGCATATCTACAGAAGGAAAATAGTCGAACTTTCAGCTTAAATATTTGTTATCAACCCCATTACTCACCTGGGGACATCTAAGGCCATAACGTTGTATTTTAGTATAAAATTAACTACAGTTCATTTTATATACACTTATGTATACAACTGGTCCAATCTAGACGAAGCTAGTGGAAGTCTTTAATTATTGCTATTTTATCAATAGTTAATATTTTACATACTCTACGATATTATCTTTAGAAATAAGGCTGCTCAATAAGGCTTGCACATCATATGTGAATTTTCGCTTTCCAAAATTAAAAAAATAATATATATTACTCAAGAAATTGTAGTAGGAAGTACAAATGGAGTATATTATGTACATTTCAACTAATCCATGGAAGATAAAGTTCAGGAGAACGCACAACGTTTTACATTTCACACGCATCATATTTACATTCAGAAACGCTTATAAAATAACGTACCCCCCCCCCCCCCCTACTTTAAAGTAAATTTTTACACCAATCATATATTTGTGAACAGACAACATGATAATATATATTAGTATTTATTTAACTAAGAACACCGTTAAATTGGCGACGCTTGGAACTCAAAAATATACATACTCGCTTAATTATCATATAAATGCCAAATAAGTCGGGTCCAGTTCAGTATTACTAGCCTATACTAAAATAGAACTGTATGAACAGCTGTGTAAATAGAAATGTACCAAATTGCAAGAGAACAGCATCAAGTTTGGATCACACGTCTATGTTTGGCTTAGGTTGTGTTTCTACTGAAATAGAAAAGAGCGAGGCGGAGCAAAGCGAAGGAGACATGTGTTAAGTCTACTGATGACTTAAGGTAGAGATACTAATAGGACAGCCTTTTCTGTACCTCCGTAACTTAAATTTTCTTATTCTTGTCTTTACTGAATTCCATACAACTCTTCCCGTCGCAGTTTTGTTGATTCCCATATGTGATTAACAGATTTTTTCTCTCCGTGCCGCACGTCTCTGCTTCGGTGAGAAAGCACCTTCACACTTCAGTGTTTTGTTGGGAAGCGTGTGATTTAAGCACTGCAAACATATCTTAACATACAATAACGCATAGCATGGGTTGCTGAGCGCATAATAAGTTCAAACAGCTAATAGAACCCAGTATGACGAATATTTATTTAATTCTCATTATTTAATATAGATATTATCATACTAAGTTATAGATACATTTGTTGAGCTAACTAAAATATACTATATTAGTGTGACAAAGCTGAAGGTACTACTTAAGAATATCTATTAAACACAACAATTCACACATTCTAATGCCACACCATATTTAGGACCCAACTAAACCTAATATAACACATCAAACAGTAGGCGAAATTACTCAATTCCGTTATACACATAATCACAGTATTGCCAGACTAAAATTTAGGTTCTCCTTAATTACAAACACTTGTTGATTTTGAGACTTATATTGACAACGAGTGGCCCAACCAAACCGAATACCTGCGGTTATGTATGAAGCTCTACATGACAGTCGAGTTTCATACATATTTCATACTAATTTACATTTGAAAGTGCGAGTGACTAGTTTTACTGCCATCACCCACCATGTACTGATTTAATAATTAATTAGTTAATATTCAGCACACTACAATCAATTCAAGTACCTAGTCACTTGTAAACTAGCAATTAGGGATGGAATAAATTCACAAATTACTGTGATAAATCATATGATTTAAAAACAAATCATATAATTTCACCTGTGACTAATTTATAAAGTCACTGCGGATTATGATTACGCTAGCGCCAGACTCACGAAAGGTCTAAATCTAAAAAAAGTTCGTAGTCTTGAATAAAAAGAAAATTAGCTTAAGTTTTGATGACAGTGTTTCCATCACTACATTAGCAATAATATGGGCCCTATTTTGTCTGTAACAAAAGTATATTACATGATCAGTTAAATTCTTAGTTTTAACGCCACATTATTTATTTATAAATGAATCTATGAGGCATTCATTATTTTTTTATTTAGAAACAGCTATTCTCTAGGAATAGTATTTTTTATTTGTTAATTTTATAAAAAACGTCGTTTATACTAAGGCATTGATATATTCTTTATTTTTTTTTAATATTTATTTCTAAGGCTTTCAGGGTTTTTTTTTTCATAATGGAACAGTTTATAAAACTATTATACTCTATTTTGCATTTACTGGCAACAGAAAAGTTTTTCTCTTTTTCGTATTGGCATAGGATGTATGTATATATGTAAATAATTTGATTTGTACAGAGATATTTTACATTAATAGCTATTCTTTTTGCATTAGAAAGGGCTAAAACAATAATTGGAGTGCATGAGAGCCACGCAGGTATAGGTCTGTATACAGTACTAATTTATTTTTTTCACTAATCATTTAACAAAATTTATCACAAACTTCAAACCTCCATAATATTAAACAAATTTAAATCCATTGGTTCAATTCGTTACATATCATTAGATATTTATGTTAAAAATAAACCGATTTCAACTCTACTTGATGGACTTGATTTTTATAATTTAACGAAGGGGACATAACGAATTATACCAGAACTAACCAGCGTATTGAATCTCAGAATTGAACACCGCAATATAGAATACTCAAACAATCCGTGACTCTTGTGCGCAAGTAATTAGGCGCATATTGGCGTGAACAAACAACACTACGTATTTACATGCCTATCGTGAGCTATTGTCTTGCAACACAACTTGAGATTTATTTTTTAACGACTTTAGTTACTACGTACAGGCTAAAGGCAGTATTTCATTTTATTTAAATAGCGTGAGTAACACAGATAACCTAAACGAGTAAAATCTTATCTAACATAACATTATCCATAGCCTTTTCGAGATATACGAAATATAATATGAAATATTGCTTGTTTTAAATTTTTAGATAAAGAATTTGTTATAGGGTCTGGAGACACACGTAGAGGACCAATAGAATTGATTGGCTTGGTTTTTCGTGAGGAAATTTGATGATTTGGGTATAATTGCCGAAGTGATAAGTGGGAAACGTTTAAACTGATGGACAGAGTTGTCTTAAAACGGTTAAAATAGCGAATTCTTAGATAGGCATCTTTAAAACAATCTTGTTATATACACATGTTTTGTATTAAAGTTAAGTATCTTTAAATTAAATATTGTATAATTGATTTTTATAATGTGTAATTAATACTAATAGTGAGTCAACTCCTTTGATAGACCGCTAAATACCTACAAGTTTGTCACGACTTAAAATTTGCAAGGATTGACACAAAAACCATCGCGATCGTAGGTAGTTAGGTAAAAATAATATTTGCCTAATTTAACAATATTTTACCTTTATAGCAGTATCTCGGTCTCCTATGCTGTTTAAAATATTGGATAAAAGGTTGAACAAATCATATAAAACAGATTAAAATTATACATTGGAGGTTTTCATTTGGTGAAAATATTGGGAAAACATTTTGGTGAAATTGAATTCTTACGACCATGTGATTGCTGCAGTATTCCATTACGATATTAATGTAATTATATGTTTTTTTTTTTAGTTTTACGCTATGTGCATAAAAATATATAGTAAAATCCCAAATTCTATCGAGGCACGCGTACTTTAACCATTTGTTAAATTTGCTATTTTCAGGGTTAATCGGCATGTTCGATTTATATCAAACTTGTTTTATATCCACATTATGTACTACCCAATTAAAAGCAAATAAATAATTTGAATTTAATATATAATTAAGACGTATAAGTTTTTTTGTAATCTATACAAATAAATAAAATTGGAGTGTCTGTTTGTAATATTAACATAACCGCTTTTTACTTAATGCATGTGTATGTTTACACGGTACATATGCCAAAATAACATTTTTTACAATTTTTGTCTGTCTGTCTATCTGACTGTTTGTTCCGGGTAATCTCTGGAACGGCTGGACCGATTTCGACGGGACTTTCACTGGCAGATAGCTGATGACATAAGGATTAACTTAGCTTCGCTTCGCGGCGTTGCCCGCGGTTATAACATCAAACGCGGGTAACACCGCGGGTCTCAGCTAGTCGAATAATAAAAATATTTTGAGTAATCTTGTATTGCACTAAACGTATGCAACTGATGTACGTGACACTCCTGAAGGGGCGTAACGCTTAGCAAGCGAAGCCGGCCGGCACTACCACAGGCGTCGCGGGCAGGAGGGGGACTCCGCTCTCCCTCATACCTACCCCATAAGTAGCTGAGTTGACTCACTATTAGTATTTGTCACACATATATTCTGTGTATGACGGGACACATTTAACGTTTCTGTTAATATTAAACCTATACCTATTGTTCGCGTCATAGTATGTAAGAAATTGAACCTAAACATTGTCAATTTTCTCATTTCTCGATAGATGGCGTTTTTTTAAACTCGCGCTATCGTTTTGTTACCGTGCAATGTGATAATCATGACTTCTTATCACGATAATATTCATTAAATACCTACGTTCTGAGTATATGGTGGGGTTTATTGCTATAAAATACTCCCTACTCGTCGTATAAAAAGGGCGAAAAAGATCTTCGATGATCAACTATTATTCTTTACTATATCTAGAATTAGAAAATAAATTTTCACATCTATAATATTGATAAGTTGAAATCGGTTTTCAAGGCAATTACGAGATATGAGTTCAGGTAACAAGCTTGTGATGGCCCTGGCAAAATGAATGTATGCGAGTAATGCCACAAGTCAACATCAGTGTTGCAAACAAGGATTAACACAAATAAAACAAGTCGTTTCGCTAAAATTAATATAAACAAAACTTCTTATTTGTCAATAAGATATTATTACTAAAGTACATTATTTACAAAAATGCACAGGACGCCCGAGCTTCTATCCCGTGGGTAACTACCGCTATGCGATACTTTGGTTACAACTATTCATCATCAATTTGGTACGCGTTCGTTCAACGCAATAAATTAATTGCTTTAAAGGGTTCCGCACTCACGCACAATGCAGGGTTTATCGGAAATTTATTAAAAATATAAACATTTACATCCAGGTCTGACTTTTCGCTCAAATATTCGTTCACAGTCAACATTCTCTTGCTTTTGTACTAGCGAACGTTCCAAGTGCAGAAGCATAGCGTAGTACTAATATTTACGAGGAACACAGCCTTCGACCTTCGAAGTACTGGTAGAACAAACCTTGAGACTAGGCACGTCGACCCGACCGGCACGGAACCCGCACTCACCACTCAAACACCACAGGCAACAATTTATTCTAAATCACACTATTACGTCTAGTGTCTATGTTTATGTCTATGCCTATTGTGTAAGCACCGTTTTTTTCTCCTAGTGTAGTAATGTCTATACTATTTGACTTGTCCGAGCGGCTCTTGCGAGGGCTCTGTGGCCTTGAAGCCGTCGGCCTTGTACATCTCGCTCTTGTAGTCCTGCGCGTCGTTCCGGGGCTGGTCCTTGTCGTCGAACCCGTAGGGCTTCCCCTTGGCCTGCGCCTGCGCCTGCTCCTGCTCGCGCTGCTGGCGCCGCCGCTGCTTGGACCACAGCTCGTGGCAGTCCTGCCACGTGGGCAACTCCGGCGCGGGCATTCTACAGGACGGCAAACGTTATTACATGTATTCCAGTGTTTTGTGATTGTTTAACTTGTGTTATTATTGAGAGGGCATAACGTAGTGTTTAAGATGGCATAAGATGTTTAACGCTAATAAACAGAAAGTATCGAACGTTTCTTAGCCATTGAATTTCTAAAAACGTTGAAAAAAAATCCCCATATACTTTTTTATTATTTTATCTAAAAGAAAAGTATTTACGTAATATTTGGTAAACATTGGATCAACCTTCTGTCCTTAACCCTATAAAAATGAGGGAACTTTAGTATACACAGCGTGTTATATTTATTGTAAGTAATACTCTCTTGCTATGGGTGGTCAAATTAAGTGCATTCAGATGTTACAATGACTGCTTTATTCAACCTGAACTAATTAGCCTAATATAAGAAGTCACTCTGAATATTGACGCGGATTTTAATAAAACTAATGGTATATTAGTAGTGTTAAAATTTGTAAAGTAAAATAATTATTTAATAGCTAATTACAAGACATCTAAATCTTTGTTTTCGTTTTATCTTATATTCGTTTGTCTTAAACATTTTTTGTAATGCCCTTTCAACAAATACATTTCGTAAAAGAAATGTTCAATATACTTTCCTTTTCCTATTGTTCCATATTGCATTATAGTATTCAGATCTTGAAATGAATGAGTTAAAATTGAAAGGAAAATAATATACTTCGGTATCCAATGTATTTTAATATTAAATATATTAGGATAGATTCAAAAGTTTCATCGTTATTCATAGCGATATGTAAAAAAAAAATACCAAATAAAAGATATCAAAAAAACTTCAAACTCATACAGCTCGGCCTTTGTTACTTCACGGTAACATCAACATAGCTGGCTGCAAAAGATCCATTTTATCAATCAGAAATATATCAATATTTAGGATATTCGCTTAGTCATGCACAGTCAGAATTTTTAACTCTTACTACAGATGGGATGCATATTGCTGATTTTATTTAAAAATTGTTTAACAAGAGTCATCACACTACTTTTTTTCCCAGAAACCAGAGTATACTTCTCTGAAGGATTGGTGGTGGATTTTAACCCTAAAAGAGCAAAAACTTACATATTCGAGGTTAAGTAAATCTTCAAATTTTATGCCTGAAAAGTACACAGGGTATTTTAAAGTTCAAGTCTTTAGCTGTCAAGATTTGAAGAAGAAGACTTGAACTTAAGATACCTTGTGTACTTTTTCAGGCATAATAAAATCGTAACCTCAAAAATGGGCAAGAATGGCGTTTTTTTTTTTGCACTTTTAAATTAGAATATCTCAAAAACCTGACGTGATTGAGCAATTTGCGGGCCGAATTTGGATGCGGCGCACTAAAATCCCATAAAAAGTATATTCTGGTTTCTGGGTAAAAATTTTGTTGGCCTGTGTTATTAAAGGAAGAGAAGGGATCCTTTCGTATGCGGCTTTCGGGTGAATCTGTTTGAAGTAACATTAGGTGGGGTGCGCGTGTGCGCGTGTGTGCGTGTGTGCGCGTGTGCGTGTGCGCGTACTCACTGGTCGGGCACGACGGCGCGCAGCCAGGGGCTCTTGAGCGCGTCGTCGGCGGTGATGCGCCGCTCGGGGTCGAGCTCCAGCATGCGGTCGAGCAGCGTGAGCGCGTGCGGCGGCAGGAAGGCGAACTGCTCGCGCACGCAGCGCTTGTGGAAGCGCTTGGGGCGCAGCGTGTGCCACAGCGGCAGGCGCACCACGCCCGGCCACACGCCCGGCACCGGCGTGCCGCACACGCGAGAGATCATCTCCAGCTGCATCATCTCCACGTTCGCCTGCGCACCGTACGCCGAGTTATTATTTATAGCTCGAGAACTAAACCGAAGCCTTTTTTTTTTGGCACGGGAGAAAGAACGAGCTGTCTGTGTGGTGACGGATTAAGAATACAGAGTGTCACCACCCCTATTCGTCCCAACTGTCGTGAGAGCCGGCCGAGGGAGCAAACTTTGCAGGACAACAGCAATCCAAAGAGAAGAAATACTTAAAACAAACCCTATACCGACTCGTATGGCCAGCGATGTATAGTAGGCCAAAACCTTCTTTTTAAGGAGAGGCCTATGTCCAGCAGTGGACTATCAAAAGCTGTTGGTATGATATGTGAACGAAACGAGCAGACGGGTCACCCAGTAGTGACTACCATCGCCATTAGACACCTGTAACTCGAGTCACAAGCGCATTGCCTTTGACTGCCCAGAATCAGGAAGAAAAGGGCTTTGAACTCCAGTTACCTCTTTCGATGATAATCAATCAAAGAATTACTCAACACCAGTTTTCTGTGAGGCCAAGATACCTTATAGGCTCTCTCACAATAAAAATAGATAAATACTACCACTACCGTATCATTTGTCATTTCACGGTTTACCCCCTTCTCAGCCATACCCTCCCTCACAAAATCCATCCAACTCTTCTTTGATCTTCTTCTCTTGGAGTTTTCAACTCCCATACCTATCACTTTCCTCGCCATATTTTCCTAAGCCCTCTGCCATTCATGATAATATACACTTAAACAAATCATCAAATATAAATGATGAAAGGATACCTGAAAGAGTGGATGCTTGAGGAAGAGCTCGCCGAGGATACAACCCATAGACCAGACGTCGACAGCAGGGCCGTAACGCTCCTCGCCCAGCAGCAACTCGGGCGGGCGATACCACAACGTGATCACCTTGTTGGTGTAGGGCCGCTGTCGGTCCTCCGCAGACCACAGTCGAGCCAGACCGAAGTCGCCCAGCTTCACTTCACCTCTGCAATATTACAATTATAATTACCCATTCACTTTAAGAAATCTTAACTCTAAAAATCTAGCCCAAGGCAGCTCTAAAAGTTCAATCGTCAATTATTATATTATGTAAAAAAACTTAAACATTTGCATAATGAAAGATTTTTTGAAAAATTTGTTGTAAACGTTGATCTTTCAATATACTACAAAAAACACGAATATTGAATCTTAACAGATATAAATGGATTAAAATACATAATTTACGTTAAAACTACATGCTTGTACCCAAATTATAAGAAATTATGTACTGAAGGCAATTCTCGTAATAAAAGTTCGGTCACAATTCAGTTCCGATCAAGTGTCGACCTCACATCTGTCATAAAAGGTATTTTAGTAGAAAAGGTATCATATTGTAACAGAAAATTGAATCGGTAATCTGCTGGTCTTCGTAATACTTTATATATTATATATATTATTATTTATATTATATTACACTAATAAATTACCGAAAAGATCATGACAGTTGCGAGATCGAGTTGATTGTAACTGAATTGTGACCGAACTTTTATTACGAGAATTGACCTTCTGATGTTCAATTTACATATATTGTGATAAAAAATCCTTGTACCTCTTTTTAAACTAATATAACACACAGTATATCATATTTAAAACACTTTGTTTAAATTTCCTTTTATACATCGACTTGAAAAGTAGTTGTAGTAATAAAGCACTTACTTGTTATTCATTAATATGTTACTACACTTGATATCCCTGTGCAGGAAGTTCTTTCTGTGGCAGTAGGCAAGCCCATCCAGCAGCTGGCGCATGATGGACGCGTTGTGTGACTCGGTGAAGTCCACCATCTTTGACTCTAGCAACCCCATCAGATCATGGTCCATGTATTCAAAGACTAGATAAAATGATCCTTTGTCCTGAAAAATAAAATCATTTAAATTTCAAGATATTAATAATACTGATTATTTGTATGAAAGAAATAACACAATGAATTTTTTTATAAATAAAAATAATGTGTCTAATGGGTAAAAAAGCCGTGTATGGGTCTCAAGAGTGGTTAAGTAACTGTCTTAGACCAGTACATGAATAGGTGACGGATGGAATTCGCATTTACATAGATCAAGAAAACTATCGGTCTCGAAACATTTCATACTACAAAACACTCGTGAATGATGTAACTTTTACAGGCCATAGACATGTTCTCTGAATCAGACAGCTAAGTATCCAATATCTGTATTTTGTATACTTGGCTGTCAGATTATACCTGTGTATTTATCAGATCTTTGTGGTAGACCTACTAAAAATGAAGGTAATTGGAGCCAACCAAACTAAGCAACAGCAACATTAATATCCCGAAGAAACATGAAAGGCCTGCCATCTAAATATCTTTAGGTCTACCTGCAACAAACACTCCATTATATTACAAAGAGAATCTCAACATACCTTCCTAAAGTCCATAGCATCTTGCTTATCCGTAACTATTTCTCTTAAATTAACTATATTCTTATGATTTAGTTGTCTCAATATTTTGATCTCTCGCACGGCTGTGATAGGGAACCCTTCCTTCTCGTTCTCCAGACGGACCTTCTTGAGAGCGACCAGTTGTCCCGTGTTCTTGTCTCGGGCTTTGTACACTTGGCCGTAGGTGCCTTCGCCTATCTGAGTTATGACCTGAAAGAATTATTGAATGGTGATAATGCAATCCAAGTTTATACCTCTAAAATAACTTGTGGCTAGCTGGATGATAAGTGGTCCTATACTCCTCGAGTTGCTTTGAGTAAAAATTAAAATTGACTATTCAAGAGGTATCCACCTCTAGAATAGGAATAGAATACCCTCTGCATGCACTGTGTTGTCACTAATGATGAATTATTTCCAAGAACTTCTTGAACAGAAAATAATGTCAAATTGCCGGGTGTTGAGGTTTTATAGGCAAAGATAGCATTTACGAAGTATTAATACGAAGACAGTTTCATTCAAAGTATATCAGACATAGGAATGTACCTGGAACCCGTCGACACACTTCTCGCCCCAGTCTTTGGCATGATAAGTAGGGGTTGAAACAGGAACCACTTTTGAGCCCCGCCTCTTAAGAATGCGCGGCCTCTTCAGTTTGGATCCCGACTGTAATTATATTCAAGTAATTAATTAAGAATTATAAATGATTTATAATGGCTGATACATTTATAATGATATGTAAGTCACCAAAATAATAAAGTTTTATAAGTTTTGATGTACAACAGTTTTTTTTATTTTTTAATAATTATGATTTTCGTCGAATATCGACCAATAAGCGATCACCAGTTATGTATACGGCTAGTGAGTTCCACATATACATACAGCTTCTCGGGTAGCGGTCCTATTGGCGAACACGTGCGAGTACTGGTCGCGTCGCGAGGTTGGAGGAGGAGTGGAGCCGTCCAGTTCGTCGCCTGACAACTCCTCGGATCCAGGAATCACTGCAATGTTAATAATGACTATTAGTAGGATTAAAAAATTTACTATTATTTACATATTTATTTACAAGCTATTTTTTTAATACTGCCAAGAACGTCTACTTTAAAAACTTATAAAATAAAGAAAAAATTGTTACAAAAATATTTTGTAACAAGTATTGTAGTATTTTTGTATTATAGTTTGTATTTTTTAATAAAATCAAAGTATCCGCTAGGGATATTTTTTCTTAAACTAAACTGTAATAGGCAGATTGCTGATTAAAAATAAAAAATGTTATTTATTTTTAATGTGTCATCCAGTCAGTTCATTACCTTGCAAACAATATAATTTATTCTCGAGTATACCCATCGCCGCTGTAAGATATTACAAAATGTAAGATCAACTTTAAGTTTAATGGTATACAATATTACCTGGTGGCATAGGCAAGTTCATGATTCCGGTACGTTTGGGTTTTTCTGGCTTCTTGACGGGACTTGTCGGTGGCGTCGTCAGCGGACTGTCGTTTGCTAACGTTTTTATGTCATCAACCTGAGGAAGACATCAATATCAGTAATGACCAAAAATGAGTTCGCTGTGAGAAGGTAGACGCTATATGTAGAGTCTGAAGATTCTTTAAACAAATCGGTTTTAAAGTGAAACTTTTACTACATCAATATGATTTAAAAGTAGCAATAATTTCCATGTCTAGTGGTAAGTGACTACCGTCGTCTATGGACACCTGCGACTTAGAGCCACATGTGCGTTGCCGCCCATCGAGTCCCCAAGGGTCAATGATATTTTATACTTATAAGAGGTAGATACGCCACGGCACAAAACGTGAGGGTCCTAATTAGGACCACAAAAAGCGCACGCACGTAATAATAGACGAATAATTAGAAAAAAATCATAATATGTCGCTGTACTGATTACAAATAGCTGTCTCTTTCACTCTTATGCTTTCCCTATTTCCTTTCGCACTTGTAGCGTAAGTTTTGTTCCAAAATTCATGAATAGATGTATGTACGATTACGGAACAAATATTTTGGGAGTGTAGTATGAATATAAAGTTATATTCATACTGCACTCACAAAATATTTGTTAGATAGAAGATAAATATCTTCCTTAAAATATCATTGCTAAGGTAAGTGACTAGTGCTAAGGATAGAATCTCCTGTTACCTCACTCAGTCGATCGGTGACAAGCAACTAAAGAACTGCTTACCACCAGGTTTTTGTGAGACCGTGGTATCACTAGTCAAGCCAAGCCATATGCGCCGAAGCACAGCTTTCTCACGATGAAATCATGCTTCTCGGACCACCGTCAGTTGGGTAGTTATTTTTGCATAATTATAATTTTCAACTTTCTTATCACTAAACAACCTTTAAGTGTTGCTTTGCTAGATATCAAAGAGAATATTGATATGGATTTAACCTGTATGTTAGGCGGCATGGGTAGTTTTGTGAGACTCTTGTGCTTGGGTACCGTAGGCAACGCCTGGCTGTTCTGTAAGTACACGCTGTCTACCACCGACGTCTTCGGTAATGGAGGGTTAGTTACTGTACTACCGGTGGTACTTGTTGGTGGAGGAGTTGTAGATGCCGGTTTCTGAAATTTATACATACATAGTATATTTTACTCGGTTCAGAGAGTAACTATTAAAGTGAGACATGGTTAAGGATAAGTACCTCTGGCTCTTTATCCTCTGGAGGTAAAGGCGGTTGTGGCGGCTGAGGAGGCTGTGGTGGAGCGGTAACGGAAGGTGAGGGAGACGGCGAGCCGTTCTGATGCAGCTCGAAGGAGCGGAACTCTGGCGGGGGCTGCAGGGGCGCCTGGTTGGACTCGTCACTGTGAGGCATGGGGATGTCCATGGTTAACACCTCCTGGCTCTCCTTTATACTCTCACCGTTTTCTTTTGACATCTAAAATCCAAAATGTAAACAACAACAGTGAGATATAAATTACTAATAAATTATGAAACCACTTTTAATTAAAGTTGATGAACACATCTGGGTGATAACTTTGTGAAATATCAGTACATTTAGTATATGTTAAATACTTCTTAATAAATGTAAGTTTTCATGTTTTTTATTAATACACAAGAAAAAAACCCGAAGACCTACATATGATTACAGATACATTAATATTAAGCAGAGACGTCTTAAACGTAAACGACCAGTTTATATTCATATAAAGAAAAGTATGGGAAGGCCAACGTAGGCAAAAGGATATCGCATATACGGATATTGTCCGTGTGGTTACAGATTAAGAATATGAAGTGTCACCACCACTATTCATCTCGTGGGTGTCGTAAGAGCCCACTAAGGGGAACAAACTACGCAGGACAACAGCACTGCAAAGAGAAACCTGTCTGGCCAAACCCTTAATTCCAAGGAGAGGCCTATGTCAAGCAGCGTACTGTAAAGGCTGATGAAGTGAACTGACGAATGATAGAGAATAAAAGAGGAAACTTGACGACGACTCGAATTAAATTGGAAAAGTCAAGAAAACAACGGTGTGCAGGAGACCTACATGATATTGGTCATGTAGGTCTCCTCCACACAATCATCACTGTTGATGACCAAACTGGCAACAAACAAAACAATTGTTGAATGTTTGTATTTCATCTATAGTTTAGACATGGTATAGTGTACTAGATCATGGCAACTGTAGTTTTTTATGTTCACTACGAATCAAGGTACAATGGGGTTAACATATCCTTAATAGATCAAAACCCCGTATTAATATAATTAATAAATAAAAATACTGTCTCCAGTATACTGTCTAGTACTCTAGTGTCTCTGGTAGACATCTTCTAGAGAGAACAGGCTAAATTTTGTAGTATAACAGTCAATGATTAATCAATAATTATAATTAATAAATAAAACCTGTCTGTGTGGTAACAGATTAAGAATACAGAGTGTACCCCTATTCATCCCGTGGATGTCGTAAGAGCCGACTAAGTGAGAAAACTACTCAGAACAAAAGCACTGCAGAGAGAAGGAAAACTTGACACAAACCCATACCATATATACCAACCTGTCTGGCCAGCGTGGTAAAGTAGGCCCAAACCTCCTATCTAAGGAGAGGCTTTATATCCGTCCAGCAGTGGACTATTAAAGGCTGTTGATGTGATGTAATGATAAAAAATAAAATAATTTACCTGTGTAAAACTGTCTGCAGTGGCGTTAGATAATTCATCTATAGTTAATATCTCGGGGTTGTTAATTGAGGTTGTGTTTGATATTGCTCCCTGTGATTCTTCCTCCTTTTGATTTAATATTTCCTGTAGTTTCTGTAAACATAAATGCATATGTTAAAAGGAGTTCTAGTACAGATCTAAAAACTAATCAAAGTAATATTGAGAGACACAATTTCCTTTTTGGAAAAAAATGGTCTAAAGAAGTCACATCTTCAAACTAGGTTTTGGTCGGCTTTTACTACGATACGGCTGAACTTCGATTTTTACGTGAAACGACTGCCATTACTCCACAACCCAAGTATAGTACTATAGCGATATCGAAATTTTGTAAAAAGTCTGTTATCCAGACTTTTTAGGGTTGCAACTATCCGTAACAATTGCCACAGATGTTCGTATAGGTCAAGGCAACCAGAATTGACGGCTTAACAAGCTTCCTGAGGCACGAACGGGTCTCAATCTGTCAAGAATGGTCACCCATCTATAGACTGCCCTGGTTAGGATTACTTAACTTTGCAATGTGTTAACTTACTCAGTTAGCACTTAGCCACGAGCCCCTCTCAAAATTTGTTTGGTTGAGTAACCCAACATTATGAAATTGCTATATAAAGGCATGTATGATTCTATCTATTCATGCATGTATTCTATGTGACGAAGGCGGCTTTTATCAAAGGGCATAGTGACAAGTGTAATAAGGTGGCGCTCGCCAGTAGCATTCAAAAACATACTTTAAGTAGTGTCAATAAGTAATGTTTCACTTTGAGATTAGCCCATTCAGTTCCTAAAAGATGCCAACCCATTAACAATGGATACCAAATTATTAAAAAAAACCTACCAACGAAAATTGGTTGCAATTTTTTAATTCGCAAATACGGGAAATGTGAATAAGACACTTTTATTGTATTATGTATATGTTTAAAATAACTTACCTTTGCTCTTTTGTGTTTGTCCTTGACTAGTTCAGCAAACAGGCTAGTGTCACTGATCTTCTCCTTGAAGTCGATTCTCCGTTGCAATATCGATGGTGGACTAGGTGATTCGTGCTTGATTCTGTAATATACACGATTTCAATTTACAAAATTGATTTGATGTTTTAAATTCGCCACTAAACGTGGTTTTCGTGTTCGAATAGTTGTATTAAATACTGAGAACTCATGACCACTGGTTTAGAAGTCAGGATCGCTAATATAATGGTCTATCGACGTTTAAACACGTTTTAAACAATATTATGGAGATTTTATAGTATTTCGAGCAAAATAAGACTACGAGAGTAGTAGTGTACGAGTGTGTGGTGTATTATGTTTCCGACCAATGTATGCGTGGCGTTGGAAAACGACAACATAAACTCCTGTGCTGTCCGCCTACGTGGCGCTCTCACCAGGCTGACAATAGCCCCACTGCTATAGCAATTAGGCTTATCAATGAGTTTCTTCAGTGTGGTCCAGATGCAGATATATTTTTGACTCCCAAAGCATAATTTTAAAACATAATTATATTTCTCTGAATGTTACAAAGTAATTTTATGGTTCCTAAGTTGATGTAAGGTTGTTTTTCTTTACAAATTTTATGTTATTTCTTTTTGTTGGTCTGAGTTTTAAAATTGTAATAGTTTGTAGTTTATTTTTGTTAAAAAATTGTATAGATATAAGCGATTTGGTGTAGACTGTAATGCATATATTTCATTAATAAAGAATTGAATTAGTACAATGAGTACGTACCGGTGCCGCTCGCGGGGCGGGTCGGGGTGCTTGGCGCGGTGTCGGGGCGGGGACGCCGTGGAGCCGCGCCGCCGCCCGCGGGACACGCTGCGGCGACGCTTCAGCGAGCCGCGGCTGTGGGACCTGCCACACACAATACATTATTGTTTTCGCTTAATTCAAATATTTCATTGGAAATCTTTATTCAACGAAAGGGTTTTTAAATCCAGACGTAAAATGAGGGTTGCTATAAATTTAGCGTTCGGATTCGCATATGTCTCAGCGTATCGACCGATCGATGTACCGATGGTATTCTGTAAGTTTTTAGTCATATAAATCTTACTGTCCTATGTCTGCAAAAAGAATCGGATCATTTTCACAAGTATTACTAAATCACATACTAATTACAATCATCTAGACAAAAATTATTTCACAATGGTTTCGCTTAAACCCACGACCTTGGCTCAACAGTGCGACTTTCTAACCACTAGACCAAAAGGCAATAAGGCGACTGATAGCCATGGTCAAGTTAGCAGGTGTGTACACACCGGTGCGTGGTCTTGAACTCCTTGTGTCGGTCCCGTGCGCGGTCCCTTGACCGCGTGCGACGCCGGTGGTGCGGCGAGCGACAACGCCGTCGCCTCTCGCTGTACTCACGCATACGCGGCTCGTGCACCGGAGAGTCTGGAAGTAACATTATAATAGATATTAAAACTTGTAGAACCTTCAAAGCTAATTTCTTACTATAATATCTGTTTATTCGGATTTAGATGAGGTCTACTTGTAATAAACATTTATTTACGTGAACTAAACGTTATTAAGCAACAAATCTTTAACTGTTCTGAGGGCGAACTCGCTCTCGAAGACAAGAGCGTTGCGATTGGTGAAAAATCAGTGCGGGCCAATCCCAACGCCAAACGCGGTCACCGTGACGATCGAGTTGATTTGAAATAAACTCACACTAAGTCCTCTGAATCGTATTTTTGCATATAATTTAAACACAATAAATAAATTTAAAATATCTACAATTTTTCTATAAAAATAAGTAATTTGATAGCTATTAGATAATTTGAGGCTTGATAAGGACTCATCATATAACGTACCGACCTGTCGCCTCAATATCAATCCTGAAGGCATATGATCAGGAGTTAGGGTTAAAATATAATAATAAAATAATATATTGAAAATTTAAATTGATAGATAGAAACTTAGGATTTGCGTCAATTAACTAGTCCGTATGTACTAAAATCATACAAATCATTTATCCCACAAAAAAAAAGACATACGAATATGTACAGGTTCAAATTAAGCTGTATACTTAAATTGTGTTTATCGGAAACACTATGTTCTAAACGTCAAGTTTTATTGGGGTCAATTGTCAGTTGACCCTACATTTCTATGTCAACAATCGACGGATTTTCTACGTAGGACAATTGTGTCGGAAACTGATACTTCAATAGGCCGAAGGATGGCTCTCCCACGAACAGAGATTATTTGGTTTGCACCAATATTGTTAAAAAAAGGCAAAAATAGATAGTTCTGGAATGGTTCAGTTGACTGATGATCATTGCATAATTAATACTATTAAAAAAACAATCGAGCTTTAGGTTAACGTAATAATTAGCATTTTGAATATCGCCCAGTACATGAAGCAACTAAAGAAATAAAGTTCACCAAAAAAAAATTGTTTAAAAAAAACTAAAAAACAAGCTTTTTATAGAAAACCAAACTAAAAAATAGAAACTAAATTTTAATAAATTTGAAAAAAAAAAGCGTTGGGTGCCTGTTGTCAATAGTAAAAAGCACCCCACGCTTTTTTTCAAATTATAAGCGTGTTTTTTAGTTTTTTTTAAACTATTTTTTTTTTATTTTTTTTTATTAGTGTATTGTCATCGGTCCTCGATATATCTACAAATTTTGAACGAATTCTGACAGTTTAAAGTCAGTCAAAATCACGCCCAAAGGAGTCGGTTACAAACAAACATACAAACATACAAGTGAAGCTAATATAAAGCGTGTAAAAATAAGGAATCTCTCAAGTGCCTAGTCAGAATGGAGAAACCGGTCGTTTATAAAATAGCTTGTCAAGAGAATGAGAATGATTTAATAAATAAATCTTAACTTAAACCTTTAGTAGGATAAAGATCTAGGCAGATTCTCAAAGGCATGTCCGCACAGCGATTGTTCACCGCACGTTTTTTTCAGAAAAATTCTGTGACACATGGGATCTATATAGGACTCTAAGCACTGGCGAAAAAAATCAAGCGAAGAAATCTGTGATTTGATGTAAATTGAACGTGATACGGTGTTGATTTATTTCCGCGCTAATGTTTCGTGCAGTATGAAGTAGATATGTATATATGATAGGTATGTTTCCGATTGCGGAATATATTACACGAGAATAAAATCCTCTTGGTGAAATATCGCTGCCCTCGCGGCCCTAATTTTTTTCCTTCAATAAAAAAAGGACAAATCCCTCACTAGGAATATATCCTGTAACGCGGAAGACTTTACACACATTTATACATCGACACAAAGAACACCCAGACACAGAACAACAATTTGTGGATCAATGCTTAAACCACTAAGCCATTTGTGAAATCAAAATGAATGGAGTGTAATTTAACTGCCGTTTTGTAGGGTAACTGAAGAAATATGCAATTTCTACCTCCAATTAAAAAAAAACGAGACGCAATTCACCTGATACCATGATCGGAGACTGTATACGCTGTTGTTGCTCCAACCAATACTCCCGCTCACGTCTGCTGCGCTCGTAGTCCTGTTCTGTATCTGAATCAATGGTCACTGTATCATGGTACGGAGGCGCTATGGGCGTGTGGGGTGTTGATGATTTCTGTCTTCGTCTGAAAATTGTTAAGAAAAATTAGTTATCTAGTTTGTTAAGCTTACTGGCTAAGATTACGGACTCTTTTTATGATATAAGGAGCAAACGAGCAAGCGGACCTGCTGATGGTAAGTCATTACCGTCGCCCATGGACGCCTGAAACTTAATAGTCACAAGTGCATTGCGGAGTCTTTCAAAATCAAACTCAACTCAAAATATCTTGATTTCATAAAAAAAAAAAAAAACAAATCTTCCCTTTAGTACTCTAAAGATAGATCAACACACACAATAGCAACAATCTATGTTTGTCAAATATTTAGCAAACTAAATATATACGTTTTCAAAATCTCTTATATGCCTGTGCCGATCTACAACTGCCCATTTCTAAGGGGTTAAGCCTCATGACAAGAAAGGGCAAACAAACTCACTGCCACTCTTTTTTAATTAACAGATACAAACAATGGCATCATTGAATATAAACAACATTTTTTTTAATGTTTGCCAGTATTTAAGTTTTAAGGACTAAAAGGTAAGAAAGCAATGAAGAGAAAACGAGATATAGAAAAAAAGATCGAATAAAAAAGAAAGTAAAACATTAAAAAATGGAAAATAAAAGACACACTAGCTCATATCACATTTTAAGTACGAAATAGCCTGTGCTAAATTAATAAATTAATCCCAAGCAGTCTTGTCTTCTATGTAATCCACAATTGAGTAATAGCCTTTCTGACATAGTTTACGTTTTACTGTGGATTTAAATTTGTTTATACTAAAATTTCGTATACTATTATTATATACCCATTATTAATGAAACCCCATTATTATAGAATCTTTATTACCGTATTTTACTGCTGTGTTCTTTATTAATAGTAGAAGATGGAATAATTCCCTATTTTATATTTAAAGTAGACTATTATGTAATCATATGTTAATTGTCTTTTATTTTTATAATTTTTGCATTTATAGATGTTTAGTTCATAGCTTCTTTTCTATTTCTCATAGTATATATGCACCTGCCATGTCCCTTAGTGAACCATGTAAAGGTTGACTGGTAGATAGTGTAATGTGGCATTAAGTCCGCCTCATGCGAATTGTAATGCAGGATGTGTAAACATAAAAAACTAAAATTTTAAAGACCTCTTTAAAAGATCCCCTAAATTCCATGAAAAAATCTATCAATTCCAACTAAGACCACAAAAGATTAGCAGCATTCGAGATCTTATCGATGGAATAACAATTATCTAACATATCAGTTCTATGACATTGATTCAAACAGGTCCAAGGGAGTTTATTGACCTTCTTAAATGATTAAATGCTGCAAATGCCACACAGAAAACACGAATATTATTCCAGAAACGTGCGTGAATCGACGCTCATGAATTGTTAAACATTCAATGTGTATGCAAATAATAAAAGCTAACAACATTGATCACTGTATGTGCACACATTCAATGCCTAAGCTTACTGTAGATTTTTCCAGTGATACAATATGTCTACATCTTTTTTAAGAAAATTAGCGTAAACGGACTCTTTACTTTTACGAACATTAAGTTTATATGTAGAAAGACTGAAGAAGAACAATTTGTTTCATCATTATTTGTTACAAACTTATTATTGTGTGTAAGTTACAAAAAGCTAAGTAAGATATTTAATAGTAGTTCAAGTAATAATGGTCACAAAAAAATCAAAACTTGGTGAATCTACATTAGAAATGAATAAAGGTAATTATTACCCTCCTTTCTCTTTCCAGGAAATAAATTCAATTAGGTCAGAGTAAGCAGACAATTGTTATCAGCTCCATCAGTTAAACTTTATCACTATTTCATCAGCTTTATTTAGAAACACTAACTTTAATGGACAAACTAGATAAGATTTAACAAACCAAACTTTCTTTAACTGATTTTAAAATGTATTTTTCCTGTTTGTTTGCTTTCCAAAATCCGTAAGATACATCATATATGGGAAAACCTCATCTCGAGTTTTAATTACAATTAAATACATTTAATAGAAGTGTGGGGAACAGCTGTTACGTAATTGCAGATATCCCAGAACAAAATTATTAAAATGTTTTGCCACTACAACGTGCTCCAACAAAAAAATATACAAAGAAACAAAATGAATGATGAAAGAAACCTTAAAAATATATATAAATACAATACATGTCTATTAGTATGAAAAACTTTAAATAAAAACATTCAAAAAAGAATAACCAGATGAAAAAAAAAACTATGCTTAAGGCACCACTAACAAAATATTTTAAACAAAGGAGCCCAAATATACAATAAATTACCAAATAACATGAAAGAAATAAAATTAATCAACTTATTTAAAAACAACCCTTAACTTCACATCTTAAGAGTTTTCCAGATTTTAGCATTACAATTGCAATTCTACAGTTCCCGCTTGCTATCAGACATCGATACGTAGTACAACCCGGCACCTTTATTTCTTTTTAGTGTACCCACATTTTAATTGTGTAATTTAGTACAATATTTGGTGACACATACTGCGCCGACCCCAAATAAAATTGGAAAAAGGGTAGGCAGATGATATATTATGATGATTTGGTGACACCATCAAATACGCTTGTAGACTATAAGTTCATCCTTTGTTTTTCCCAATATAAATGAATTGTAAATAAATATCTTAAGCCAGACTTTTCAACTATCTACCAACATAAGCTTTTTACTATGATCATCAAAGATTTTCCGAGAAAAACCAAAAGAGAAAAATTTTGCTTTGATTGACTGAAGTGGCTGCATTTTGGCAAAAACTACAAAGTGGGCTGTGCTTGTTGAGCGATATCAACCAGCATGGTATTGAAACACTGTGAGGTTTGGTGGCCGTGTTATCCCTGGTAAAAGAGTCAATTAACCGTTTAATGTTTTCAGTGATGTGCAATTTGTAAATTATACATATAAAGGATACAATGGGGTTGACATGTATTAATAGAAAAAAAAACCCTAATCAACAATAGATTAAAAAAAAAGGATTTTTCAAATTAATTGGCTAGATATCGGTGGGTATAAGTTTGGTCACTTACTATTTCAAATGCAAATCATTCCCTTCAAGATTTTATATGTGTTATTTTTTTAATTTGTTGTGAGAAAAGAGTTTATATATCTTTGGATGAAACAAAGTGAATCTTATGATACTACATAGTTATAACAGATATATAATAAAGATGCCACAAACAAAAAAAAGAGTAATGCAAAAAAATAATTAGAAAAGTGATATCATTTGCTTTGACTGACCTCAGCAATTACATATTTGCGTCTTTCTTTTTTTTAAACAAAACATGTTTACACTGCTTTAAACTTAATTTAAAAATGCATATTTAATACTTTAGATGTGATACATATCCAATAAGTTATGAATTAAATCAGTTGCTAAGGAAAGTAAATCATGAATCCATTACATAGCAACCAACCATCAACATGTTTTAGGGCCGGTTTTTTAATCCTCAGATAAACAGTCATATAGTATTTATCCCACAGTTAGCGTAATTTTGTATTTTTCGATGGTCAGAGAGGTATCATCTGAAGAATAAAACTTAAATCTGAGGAATAACTTTATCTGTCGAATTTATCCGTAGGACAATGATTTTGACTTTTGTGTATTTGTTTACATTCTCTAATATTTGTTGTAGTAAAGTTATTGTACATTGCCCTTATTAAGTATTTAAATTTTGCTGTGTTCTGAGAGAAAAGAAAGGGTTTTTAGAGAAAAGTATGATAATACTTTGTGTGATACTGGTCAATTTTGTTACAAGTTATTACCAAATACAATTTCTTGAAATTTAATGCTCGTTAAAATTGTATTTTATACGAAAGTAACATGAATAATAATATTCTATTGTACATTCACACAACGCTATCTAGTTCCAAACAAAGAACTGAGAGCTTGTGTTATGGGTCCTAGACAACTAATACTAATACATATACTATATTTTTTTTGTAAATATATACATAATTATACATAGGAACACCCAGACAAAATTTTAAAATAAATATAAATTTACACAAATTGTTTAAATTGAGCGGGAATCGAACCCGCAACCTTTCCAATAGCAGTCTGTTACACAAACCACTACACTATTGTTTCAAGTCACTACAACCGTCAATAATGTTGTCTTATTATCTGACAGACAAGCAATGACAAGAAAAGAGTGACACAAATGTTATCTAATAGCTTGTGATCAAGTGTCTGTGTGATGTGATGATCCTTATCTAACGTGTTATTAACTGTATAGCTGCATCTCGCTTGCACATGTTTACAGTGAAGTTAGCTATACAACCGCTTGAAAAACAGAAAAAGTTTATTGGCTTGATAAACAGCAAAATAAACTTAAACCCAAGTTAGTTGTCTGTCAGTATAACACTTTATAATAACATTAATTTTCATAAGTGCAAATTGGTTATAGACAGACTGGGAGGGACTCCAAGGGCAGCAATGCACCTGTGACTTTTGAGTTGCAGGTGTCCATATGCGGGTAGTTGCTTACCATCAGGTGACCCGTCAGATCGTTTGCACCCTTATACCGTAAAAAAAAAATAGCCAGCAGTTGAGCGCAATAAGCTGAATGACGCTTAACCATTGAAATTTTGTATGTTGCTCTTACTAGTATAATTGGCACCACTTGTCTTTTATCAACAGGGTTACTTGACAACTTTTAAAAACAATTGCATATTAAATTTATTGCAGAGTGATTACTGTCATACTACATGATCTAAACAAAAAATGGCCTTCTAAAATATAATAAGATTCTGTATTAAAACACCCATTTCTTAAAATGTAGTTGTAAAATTGAACCTGAACACAAACATTAAACACTAAATGAAAGCTTGTAAAAAGTTAACTCACCTAACAATCGGAGATCTATCCCGGTGCGGCGAGTAAGGCATTGGGTTGTGGTGCAATGCAGGTTCTCGAAGAGCGACACGATGTCGAGGCGACTCATGCCGCATCAGTGGTGGTGTACTAGGCGAAACAGGGGAACATGAGCCATTGCGCAGTGGAGACGATGCCTTCTCCCATTCGCTCACAGGTACTTGGTGATAGCGCTGGGGAGTCGGCGCCCGGACCGGAAGCTCCTCAGGCACGTTGTCGTCTGCAGATACACTCTCCAAACTTGCTGACCTTGACCTATTTTTAGACTTCTTTTTCTTCTTCCTCTTTTCCTTTTTACGTTTGTCTTTTTTCTTCTTATACCTGCCATGATCATCAAACTCCGCCTCTGCCTCAATGTAACCATCTATCCTTCTCTTTCTTCCCACCGAGGAATCCCTCATGGCGTACTCTTCGTTGGCCCGCCGACTTGTAGTTGTAACTGATATTGTCTTGTTATCTACAAATGTACGTATGGAATGGGACTTTCTTGTTCGATCAAGGTCATCAGCAATATGCCTGCTGATTGAGCTAGTCTCACTATCAATCTCACCTGCCTCTGGTGCTGACAGTGCCTCCGAACTAACATCTGAATATTCCACCAGTGGCTTAACAGAATTGACAGTAGCATAAGATTGTTCATGGGAACTACCTGAATATGATTTGTGTTTCTTATGGCCATGCTTCTTGTGTTTGTCCTTATGGTGCTTGCTGTACCTCTTGTCGTAGCCTCGATCCATGTTCAAGTGGGGGGGCGCCCCCGCCCTGTGTCGTCACTTCACATCACTTTAACTGAAACGTAATTTCATATATTTTATTGGTCGCTGATTAATATGAAAACATATACTTTTGTATAATTCAATAATAAAAATGATAAGGACATGTACAAAGTTCAAAAGAATTTACATAGGTACTTCTTAAGTATATAAGTTTCATAATTTCATAAAATAAAATAAATTTGGTTAGTACATACCTACAGAACTCAACTGAAGTTCTTGTAAATAAAAGTATGTAATCATTAGATGTCAAGTAATTATTTGGTTGACTGTACCCGCATAAAAAATTCTGAGGACAGAATGCAAAATGTGCAGGTACACAAATAAACGTATTTAATCATGAGATAAGTACAAAATTAGTCACCACGCTGCAAGTCATAACTTAGAAAATTAATTACCAAGTTGCAGATTCTAAAAATAAAGCAGTCGTAAGCATTCGCAATTTTGATAAATCCAAAATAATGTAAACAAATGTCTGCACAATAGGAGCACATGCAACAAAATATAGGATAAAAGACTTACCTTAGCAATAAACGGACGTGCGTCCGTCACACGCACTAATAGTATTTTTGCAATAAAATAAGAATTGTGTAGGCTAAGGTATTAGTTTTATAATTTTTTTATGATTTCAGCAGGCTTTCGTCCGCTAATATATACTAATCTTAGTTCTTTACTCTCTTTCTAATCTTATTTCGCTAATCATAGTTATGAAGAGCGCATAATTCATGTAATTACATCGGATTTATATTAGGACCAAGAACGTCGATTTTAGTCAGCCATTTGCTTTTTTCATTCATTTTCTTTCATCATCGTTTAGTGATGTACTTATCTCGAAGTTGTACTTGAAGTGATCAGACGAATATAACACTTTACTCGCAGCAATCGATTCTCCAACCGTTTAATTTTTAAAATGTTAACAGAGTAGCAGTCAAAAAAGTCATTATTAAAAATAAAAAGAATGTTTTATCTTTATTCTTTAATTCTTCGAATGACTATTACAAGAGAAACGTTGAATAAAATTCATTTTAGTGTTATGTTTATGCACGTTAACCTAAAAAAAAACTATTTTAAAATCCAATATAGCTAGAAATATAATTCTAACATAATTTAATGCCTAATTGCCTGAATGACGTTTTTATAGGCCTTGGATACAATCTCATTTTGCATGCCAATTTTATTTTAAACTTGCTTAGTAATCATATATATTAAATACTAAATTTATAAGTTCATTTAAAATAAATCAAAGCATTAAGACTTTTTTTTACTTTCAAAATAATTGAATTTTGACTAAAGAATCAAATAACTTTACATTAAGTACTTTTTCATTTCATTTAAGTAACAATTATACATTTGAAAGAGTAAGACAAAAAGTTGCTTTAAATAGATTCATATAAATGAAAAACTGCACGTAACAGTTTGATAAGATAAATATTTTGTGTCACTGTAACTTTTTGAGAACAATCGATTTAGGTTTTAATCAAAATTTTCCAGACGCGCAGCACTAGGGCGGATGTCTTGGGTGCGGCACAAAATTCAAAAAATAACAAAAAAAATTCAAATTAATGTTTTTAAACAGTATGGAAAATGCCGGTAGTTGCTTAAATATTTTTGAAGTAGTTTTAATTTTTCAAAAATAGTAGTTACCTGAATGATTAATAAGTGGTAAATAATTAGTAAGTAAATTTTTGTATATTGTATCCGCCGGATATACGTTTCTTACCCTTCTTGTCGTGCAATGTTAATTTGCCTAGAACTTTTGAGTACTAAAGTACAACTTAAAATCTTGCTTTTTCATGAATACAATAATTTAACACTATGCCTAAAGAGATTGGCCCTGACCGAAGAAACTTTTTGTTTTGCCATTATTTTTTTTTCCTTTTCGTCGTTATATTTCTTCTGCGTGTAATAGATCACATGGTACAAAATACTACCTTATTAAAAAATATTCTGATACAGTAGTAAAATTGTTAAGAATAAAATCAGTCTTCATGATGTATGTTGGTGACAAAATCTGAGCTTCATTTATACACTGCACATCCAATATTGAATATTTAACTTTATATTGAAGTATTTTCTTCATGTGAATTTATTAAAAGAAAAATATTACGATCTTTTTTAAAATCATTTTTTATGCATAGTATGGCAACTCTGAGCAGTTCGCGTGCAATTTGCGTCCTTGTGCTATAGCATTTATTTTGTTGGAAAATAAATAGATACAAAAATATTTTGTAATAATTAATATTATTACACACTATATAATGTGTAGTGATTTCTTAAGATAGTCTACATTATAGTATTGTCTCGTAATTAGTCACAATGACCCCTGAGTTCACGGCTCCTATTGCTGGTACATCGTGATATTACCCAATATAGGAAATATATTTCGAACTATTTAATTTACAGTGTTTTTTGAAATGATTTTTGTAATTTTGCTTCATGGTTTATGTGTTTGAGGTATTTAAGTGCAGGAATAAATATTCTATTATGGTTATAAATGGTCATTTTAAAGTCATTGAACCTATGAACGGCGTGGTGACACTGCAGTGACTTGTGAATCGGAAATATGTAAATAAACATGAACGATATAAGCTTAAAAATAGTGGAATCTCCAAAGGGCCACGGTGGAGTGGAAGTGTCTCCAAATGCGGAGGCTGTGGTTGACAATGAGGTAGATCCATTGGCCATTGATGAGGCGGAGTTGGACAAGTTGAAAGAAGTATCGGTACCGGTACCGCAGGAAGCGGCAGACGAGAAATCAAACGAAAAGGCGGGAAACTGTGATGAAAATGCCAAAGAAAAAAGTTTAAGTGAGAATTGTAATGAGACTAGTGAGAATTTTGTGAATGTGCTTGCTGGAAATGAGAAAGGTAAGATAGCTGTGAAAATGCACTTAAATTACGCCTCCTAATTAATAACAGTACTGATAACTAAAGTATAAATTAGTGTACTGAAAGGGAATGATACAATTTTTATTAACTGACCCATTTCTAATTAGATACTATAAGTATTCTATAGTATATAATAATATAGTTTGTTTGTGGACATTAAAATAGTTAATTTCTTGTGTAACTATAGGAAACGAAAAAAATACAAGAGTTCCATTACATATTATTATAATACAATGTTAAATAAAAAAAATGCTTTTCTGTAAAGGACAATGGCAGGCATCTAAGGGACTTTGCCTAGCGTATCTCATGGTAGGGATTATTGTTGTATTTATTAGGTTGGCAATATTATCTACTATTACAGTGTTAATTACCAGATTTTTAGAACTTTGCGTTCAAAAGTTATTTCAGATTATATTTTCAATATAGACTACTGACTTTGAAACCTATGACAGCTGACTGTCACAAATAAGTTGTCATTGATGTCAACAATTGACCATGTACCATACCTAAGATATTACCTTAGTACCATACTATTAAAATCTTACATAGCATATGTTTGCAATACTGTTATCTTCATTAACTATCGTTTCTGAAGAGCAAGGTTGTTGTCCTTGACCTAATGTTGCTACAAAAATATGTAAGAAGTGCTTAGCATTGCTCCGGAAAAAGCTGCTCGTGGGTTTCTCTAACGGCATTGGATCTGTTGAGATTTTATTAAACAATGGTAAAAAACCAATGTTATATTCTTAAGATCATCATCAACAGACCTCTCTTTAGAAAGGAGGTTTATGGCCTACTATACCACACTACCCAAAGGTTGGTATAGGGTTTATTTCAAGATTTCCTTCTCTTAGCAGCGCTATTGTTATTCTTAGGATATATGTAAGGCAAATAAAACAATATTTTGGTTTCAGTACAAATGTATTTACACATTATGATAAAAAATGGTAGCTAAACCATGGTGTACTCTTAGGATCATCATCATATTATCATTAAGAGCCTTTAATAGCGCAAAGAAGGTTCTCGTTAGTAAGAAGGTTTTGGCCTTTGGTTTGTTTCAAGTTTTCTTTCTTTTTGCAATGCTGTGTTATTCTTATAATATAAGGCAAATAAAACAATCTTTTTAGTTTCAGTACTATATGGCATATCCAAGGTACCAGATAATGCTCATAACATGTGAGCATTTTACAGCAATTACTTAATATTGCATCCAAACCATTCATATTTCTTTCACTCACTATAAAAACAAAATAGCTGAACGTATTTAACATAGGATCAACTCCCTCCAATCCATTTACTCAGTCTCTATATCCCTCTAAAGTATATTGTAACGGTGCATTTCGCACCATTACAGTAATTTGAACCTTAGTCTCGTTTTTGTTTTGTTAGGTTGAATTTTTTGTCGTTTCTGCGTGTGCCGATGGCCGGGGGACGGACGAGAGTAATAATCGATGTTGTTCGCCCGCGATTAGTTAGTCGATTTAGTTTTTCTTGTCCTGGCAACATTTTTGTTTCCCCGCTCTATAGAGCGAGAGGCTATTGCACTGGTATCACTTTTGACTTTCACTTTTGGACCGGCCGCCGAGAGAAATGAAGCAAAGCAAGTCTTGTCATTTAATTTTTTAGTGATCCGTATTTATTTGATATGGACGAGGGCCTATTTCCTCTTTAAATGTTTGGTCAACCTAGTTAAGACTCGAGCTAGTGGATCGAGTGATTATTTTTGCTGAAAAGGCAATGCTTATAATGCTTATAATGCCGCTGCTTGATTTGTGAAACATTTTAGAACCCTGATGAATCAGGGTTCTTTTTTAGTTTATATCTAAAGCCTTTACAATACCTAAATTTCTTATTTTCTTATTAGAATGTCATTGCGTGGCATTCGGATTTTTGTCTCTCGCTGGAGTTTAACCCCTGGAAATTAGTTTGCTGTGGAGCCCCAGAATGGTAGAAAAAGCTGCTTAGCTGTACGCCATGGTCTGGAGCCTGGGAGTGCTGACCCGCCTTTTCCACCACGTGGGAACCGGAGTGAGAAGTTTCGGAGTTGGTTTGATTTCATTTCGTTCGGACTGATCCAAGGTCATCGGTATGTAGTTTTGTTATATTTTTCTTGGCGACGTGGCATTGAACACTGCAGGTCCCCAAGGGGTGTTATTTTTATTAGAGAGTAGGTCAATGCTATGTCTACCCTTAGAGTTTATTGTTTTGTCTATTAAGTCTTCATGTGACTTTTTAAAATTTATTTAACCTTATATTTTTCTTATTGGAAAGGATTGCATTAATGACAGTACTAATTTGTGTGTAAGAATTACCTATTGTAATTAGAGTCATAAGACACATTGTACTCTACAGACACTACGGGATAATAAACAGCCATTAGAACTTAACATCTTGTATTCATTAGCTGCCTCCCGCCTTGTTTTAAAAAGGTTCAAAGCTGGCTGAGATGTCCGAGGTATTTGTTGTGTTTGTGGTGGGTTCTGTGTTCTTTTAAGGTGGTATCTGGCGCCCGAGACTTTTATTTTGTTATTTTGTTTCTATTTGATGCCACCAATTTTAGTTTTTATTTTCTTTTAAACAAACCCAACACACATAATTTAAATTTTTTAATTTTTTATTATTACAATATATACCATGAAAATGGAAATGCATAAAAATACATATACCTATACCAATACATACCAAATGTGAACAATATTAAGTCTTCATAGATAGCCGTGGAAATGAAATAGTAGCACCGAATCGCGCCTGTTTGAATTATTTAGTGCAACTACATATGAAATGGTATTATCTAGGAATAATCTTTTAAATGTTATTTGAAAAAACTCTCTGCATTAGGGTTGTCACTAAATGGTGTGGCAAAGGCATTTAGCAGAGCAGCTGCTATTTTGAAATCTTTTTATTAAATTAGAACAGGCAGCATTAAAATATTCATGCTGAATGATTTTAAAATCACTTAAAACGGGCATTCACGGCTTCCACCACCCATCTGTTAATTGTCACACAACGCAAACAATAGCTTATTAGCTTCACTTCAACCTAATAAGCTTGAAGTGAAGCTGTGATTGACTGTCTTCCTTTGTTTCCGGCATATGTCTTATGTACCCTTTGTCATGCAGGCAATCATGAAAACCACGGTCCAAAATTAAAACATTGTTTTCTTTATAAAAGTTATTGAAATCTGACTCATTTAATAATTGTAGCAATATGGCAGCATCATTAGTGGTGGAGCTATATGGTCCGTATATCTATTATATATCCATCACAAGCACACATAAAAAATGGCTTCAGCAAATTCCTATATTTATGGAGGGATAAAGTTTTTTTTTTGAAACAAATAATTAATACTTTTTTGTGTGTATGATATGTACATCAGTATGTTGCATCAGTTCGCCAAATATATACTCAGCAATATATGAATTTTTTCTGCCACTAGCTCCCTTAAATGACTGAAACCTAAATATTGAGGCACATAGTCATTATATAATATAACCAAGGAATTTAATGTTTCTAAAGTTCTTCTAGGAATTTGAAATAAACAGGATAACCTGTCGTCTGAATCTCCAGTACTTAACTTGCACAGTAGTGCAGTTAATGCCAAACTATCCCAATGCATATCCCTAAGTCTAGGTGTTGCTTGTAGTATTGGCTGATGTTGTTCTTTTGTCATGCCTATGAAATACTGAACTTGGTTGTAGGTGTAGTTTTGGATATTTCATATTTAATATTATTAAGACCTTCCATTAAATAAAGATAATCTCTTTAATATGTGCTGAACTGAAGACACTTATGCTATACTTTGCCGAGTACAAATGTTCAAATTGTTGTTGTTGTAAATAGTGAGTGCAATGCATGCACTTCTGGGAATAAAATATTGAAATTTCACCAATACTAGGTTTCATCTTTCTTCAGAATAGTATATCAGAGCCCATACACTCCTGAAAACTGTTATCACTGTTTTAAAATCAGAATCCTTAAGTCTTATAATTTTTCAGAGACAATAAAAGAAGAGAACACAGAAGTTTTAGCCGATTACGATATACCAACCAACCTATCTAAGAATGACCCTACAGCTTCGAGTAAACCAGTTTTGACCTCTGAAGTAATAGAAAAAGAAGAAAAATCTCCAATAGAAGATGTTGTACCAGAACCTTTAGTTGTTAAGAAGGAAACTAGTGCTCCTGCAGAAGAGTGTATGGTTGTGGATGACAAAAAATTAGAAAAAGAAGGCGATGCTGAAATGACTGAAGTTGTACCTGTTGAGGAGAAGAAGATAGAACCAAAAGTTGAGAAAGCTAAGCCACAGTCGATGAACGGTGATATTATTAAGGTAAGTTTATTTAGATTATTTTAGTAATTGGAAAAAATAAAATTTAGTCTTATGTCACATCTTATCCCTATCGATTTCATTCACCCTGTGTAGGAACGTGTGTTATGTGCTTCCAACCTAATGACACAAAGGAGAGGTCCCTGGGTAGGCAAGGTGATCATGCCTGATGGACTGTGGACCAACAGTTAATGTTGAGAAGTTGTATAATAAAGTGATAGATTCCGCAATACAGGATTAGTAAAGGTCAAATTGGCCTCGAAGAAGCTCGGTGTGCTGAACAGATCGAGACAGTATTTCACTCCGGCCCACCGCCTTCAGCTCTATAAGGCGCAGGTCCGGCCGCATATGGAATACTGTTCTCATCTCTATGCAGGGGCACCTCAGTACCAGCTTCTCCCTCTGGACCGCATCCAACGAAGAGCGACTCGAATCTTCAATAGCCCAAACATCTCCGATCGGCTCGATTCTTTGGCGTTACGTAGAGATATGGCTTCACTCTGCATTCTCTATCGCATATATCATGGAGAGTGCTCCGAGGACTTATTAGGACTAATACCAGCTGCAAATTTCCGCCATCGTTCCACACGACAAAATTTTCATCCTCATCACCTGGATAGTTGGCGCTCCACTAATGTACGCTTTTCGAGACACTTTTTGTCCCGCACAACCAATCTGTGGAACGGGTTATCGTCTGCGGTATTTCCGGACCGACAAGACGTTCAAACCTTCAAGAAAAGAGCGTACAATTCAAGAAAAGGAAACAATTACAAACTCAAAACTGTATCTCGTTGCTTATGTTTTTATTATTTAAAATGATTGCGTTTAGAACCTTGTCCTTTTTGAAGTCTGTAAAAAAAATGGCCGGCACGTTTTTAACTGAAAACAAGTTGTAGGTGTAGCAACATGACCTTCTATGACACTTGATCTTAGCCAAGGTTAAATTACCAAAGCTGACACTCGAAATGAACAATACAGCCTGCTATATTATGTGTTCAACATTTATTTTAACTTGTAAATATATAAAGAATTCTATGGCTCTTTGAACACTCGCTTAGGCGCATATTAAAGATGATGACGTTTACATGATTTCTTAATAGAAGGGTGACCCATTAAAAAAAGTGGCATTCCTAATCACGTGAAACAATGATTAAGCGTCTAAATAAATTTTTTTCGAGCAAAATATTCGAATTACTTTTTTTTTAATTAGAATATTTGTCATTCATATCGTTTTAGATCACATTATTGTCTAAATGTCTGTTGAACATATACTTTTCAAAAATGAACTCCACAATCTGTAGTCTTACACCTTTTCTATTCAAAGGCTTCCCTAGAATATCTACACAAATAAATAAAATTTAAGTGTCTGTTTGTAGTAGACCAAAACCTCCTTTCTAAGGAGAGGCCTGTGTCCAGCAGTGGACTTGTATAGGCTGTTGATGATGATGATGATTGTAATATCAAAATAATAGTTTATTTGATGCTTATACGGTTGTTTATTCTATTCCTATGCCAAAAAACAGTATTTTTTGTCTGTTTGTTTTGTTCCGGGTAATTTTCAAAATGGTTGGACCGATTTTAATAATATTTTACTAACAGGCAGTTGTCTAAATAAGGAGTTACTTAGCTATTTTTACCTCTCAGAAAAACCCTATAAAATTTTGCACGGTCCGGGAATCGAATTTATTAAGGCAGATCGCTTTTCAAATTTAAACGCGAACTAAGTCGCAGGCACCAGCTAGTTGTTTAATATGATATTTTTAGGCTTGCTGTTTAGGCTCTCCCAATTTGTAGCCAAACATATGGGATGGTTGCCGCACATTGGGTCTTCACATCCTGGCTTCCGTTTTCAGGATACCAGTCTATTAGTCTGGCGAGCATCCAATCTTCTGTTGGCTGATTTACGGAATAACAATAATATTTTCGAACATCTGACACACTACGCCATCTAGTTTCAAATTAAGCAGAGCTATATTAAATATAAATGTATGCTACTAAATAAATGTAATAGTATTTTTTATTTCAAATAACTAATACTACAACCGGTGTCAATATGCAAGGTTGAACACTTAACATAGTGCTATCTAGATTGCCAAAAAGTTCGAAAACAAAATATCAATATAATAAACATGATGACACATATGAAGAGGCGGCCAATAAAAAATGTAATCACAAGTAAAATGTGAAATGTAGCATCGTTTTTAAACAATCGTAAATTATTTTTCATTTCAATTGTAATTTATCTGTAATATATGTATTTAGAAATATTTCAGCAAGTCTGCCTACTTTGGGATCAGACTGCTGTGTGTGAGATGTCAAACAACATCAAGTTATTATTATTATTGTTTATTCTATCGATATGAATGAAATCTGAAGATGTTTTCTAAAAACAAAAATTGCTATTTGTGAGCCGAACGTGGCACGAGGTTATGCATTAGGGATAATGCGTAGTAATCTACGCATTATCCCTAATGCATAACGTGCCTTGATTAATGAGATTTGATTAAGGAATTAATGACATACAATAATAAAATTAATTAAATACTACAAGAGTGGCTTATAATGTCAACACAGATCGCCAAGTAGCAGACAGAACACGAAAAAAAAGAACTAAAAGCCTGCAACTGCGGAGTTACAAGCGAATTTGTAATTTGTTTTATTTGCAAATCGAATCTTTGATGCCTGTAGTAGATATGAAACATCACTTCATCATCATCAGCCTATCGCAGTCCACTGCTGGACATAGGCCTCTCCCATTGCACGTCACTTAGATCGATTTTGGGTTTATCGAATCCACCTCCTGCCAGCCATCTGGCGCAAATCGTCACACCACCTGGCTTGTGGCCGGCCTACACTACGGAACGTTACTTGCCTTCAAAAAAAGGGACGAGAAAATATAGTATACTTATACTAGCTGTACCCTACCATGCTTCGCTATGGCACATTGTAATTGCATTGATAAGAAATTAGGAGCAAAATTAAAAAAAGAGAGTTTTTTTATCAATTTTTGGCATCAATTTTGCTCCTCTTTTCTCATCCATGAAGCGGTTTATAATCGTGTCAAAATTTGAACTCAATCGGTGCAAAACTTTTTGAGTTTTCGGAGCGTACAACAAACAAAATCAACATTTTTATAAATGTATATAAGATACATATAACAGGAGATACTGTTCTATCTTTATTGATTTTAGAAGTAGACTTGTAAGACATAAGTTTACCTAATTGTTAGGTTATTCATACGTAGACTCAATTGATGTAATGTTTTGACGTGACGTAGGATAACAACTATGAGTACCACTACTAATATTTGTTTACGAAACAGCTCGGAAATTATCGAACTGTCTTACCCAAATATTACATTGCTCGTAGTACAATAATTCTATGCTTGTGGTAAAATTGGCGTTCTTACGAGTATAGTTAGCTCTTAGGCCCGCAATATAGCCATATTTCATGCTTCCATGAATGTAGTAGAAACTAAAGTGTACATTATTTATTATCAGAGAAGCCATAGGACGTCAACGATTGAACATAATCTTCTTTTAATAATTTGTACAATTTGCAGTGGTCAATTCTTCAACTGTAGTGTTGAAGAATTGACCACTCTGCAAATTGTACAAATTACATACAGTACATTCTTTTGATTTACTAAATTGGTAGCTTTTATTGTTTTTAATGTGTAACATATTTTCTCGCTTTTCTTTCGAAGTAATTTCACAGAATAATCTATTTGATTTGGCCAATGAGCGCGTTAGAGGCTAGATTTGACAGTCCAATAAATAGACGCGATGTCAGATGTTACACGTCATAATATGTGACCACTATTTTTTTTATTACTGTCAGTGTGGTGACAGATTAAGAACACGGAATGTCACCCCTATACACCCGTAGGTGTCTTAAGAGCCGACTAAGCAAATAACACAGGACAACAGCACAGCAAAGAGAAGGAAAACTTGAAACAAACTCCATACCAACCCGTCTGGCCAGCGTGGTATAGTAGGCCAAAACCTCCTTTCTAAGGAGAAGCCCATGTCCAGCAGTGGACCATATGATGATGATGATGGCTCGCTTTTTTTTGTGGCCTTAAGTATCTCCACATGGAGTGTGTAAATCGACTTTTAACCGAGTTAGAGCGAAATCGAATCGAAACCGATCGTTTTCAAGATTTCATCTTATTATTTTTTTGTCCTATAAGTAATCGATACAGTTGCAAATCTATTATATAGTAATATATTTATATTAATTTTTATATTATTACACGAGAATTCTTTAAATGCATTGTTAAGCAAACGGGCACCGCAGAATTTGAAATATCCAATACTAATAATAATCAGTTACTATGCTATATAACTTTAATATGTATTCAAACCTATAGTCTATTAGTATATATTTTGAACCTTTCATAGTACAAAACGTATCTTCTTCCTATCGTGTCGGTGGCAACACTACACAGTTTTCGCCCAGTACTCGGCGAACTCCAATCTAATGAGTTTTCAAGTTCTGATCGATGGAGTAAAACAAGACATTCAAAGCAATTGAAATAGGATCGCCTCTCATCAAGTTTATGAGGAAAGGCAAAAAATATTAATGGACCTCATTTATAATCACAAATTAATTGGAGTAAGATAAAAGCAGTTGTTTTTTGCCAGTTATTTTAAAAACTTTTTTATTATTACATAGTTACTTTCGTATAAATTACGTTAGAAATGCGTTAGAAATGCCTGTCTAAGGACGATAAATACACATTATTTAAATCAAATATTGATATGTAAACCTAAATATTTCTGATTATATTGTTTATTAAGTTCCTTACTGCTACTACTATATTTTTTAAGTTTTATGTTTGTAAATGTCGGAGCATGTCTTTAATTTGACTGCACGGATGGCGTAGTGGTTTAGGCGGTCGCCACGCCGCTCACTACCCCGGTGAGTGTTGTGGGTCCGATCCCCACATGGGATGACACTTTGTGTGATTCACAAATTGTTGTTCTGAATCTGCGTTCTTTGTGTCCGTTTCATGTATGTTTGTAAAGTCACAGGATTTTTTTTACAGACTTCACGAATGTGAGAAAGACATGGGTTGATAGTTTTAAAATATTATAGAATGTAACCATATTTGTAAAACTTATTTGGTCGATTCGATTCCCGGATCGGACCAAATGTTTGTATGATCTGCTAATATTTTTTCCGGAGTTTGGGTGTTCTTCTTAAATGTATAATATGTATGTATTTACAAAACCAAGTATATAAGTATTCTATCAATCAATCTAGTTTTAAAATACAATTCAAAACATCGAACCTTACTTTTTAAAACTGAAATGTATGTTTTTGCATTGCATCGTAGTAAATGTTATTTACTTTCTAGGAGGAGCAAGCAACAAAACGACGTGCTAGTGAAGAAGTAGACACAGAATCCCCCCTCAAGAAGCTGTGTATTGAAGTCGAGAAGACCTTTCCACAACACGATACAATGATCACAGACTACATCCAAACAGCGACAAAGAATAATGTAGATGAAATACAAAGGCATACAGAACAATTACTTTCAGAAATACAGACGTTAAGAGAACTTGCGCAGAAGAAGGAACACGAATGGAATAACATTCTACACTTGAAGAAGGTCAAAGAAGAAATTTTACTTCGACTCTTGAGAAGAAAACAAGTGTTATCCTTCGAAAAGTCTGCTGAAGTCAACGGTTCAGATAGAACAGATCCGTTTGATTATTTAAATCAGGCAAAGAATTTAGCTATAGATAAAAGTGATGAAATTTCTGGTCTAGCTTTGAAGCAGCCAGGATCTTCTATCAATCCGATGATGCAAACACCAGTCATGCCGGTCACAACTCACTTTAATCCTATGGCTGGGCTCCCCCCACCGTACGACAAGGCTGCTCATATGCAGTCAATGCCGAAACCAGTATTCCCCCAACCTATGATGATGCCTGGCCCTTTACCAGGGTTCCCTAGAGACATGAATGGGCAGCTACCTACGAGTTTCGGATTTCCTATGGGCCGGCAAGGGCCTACGAAAGATGTAAAGTCGATAATAGCTGATTATAGACAAAGAAATCCAGATATAACTCCTAGAAGAGGTCGAAGAATGAAGTCTATATTGAATCCTAATATGACGAACGTACCGAGAGCTATTGCGCCTAAAGTTGAGAATATGAATAATTTAAATACCCTCAATATGCTGTTTAATAATTTAGATATGGTAAGTGTTTTTTACTTATTTCTAAATTACTACGGTTTAGGGTTTCATAGCGATTTTTATAGAAATAAAAATCGCTCAAAGTTCAAATATTTGTTAGTGTCTAATCTTTTTCTTGACTTATCTGAAAAATATATATATGATGGTGTATTAAAACAAATTTAGAAAGAAATGTCGATGGTTCTCTTCGTTTTAGGGTAAAAATCGCCCATTTTATGAATTGTATTTACATAAAAAACTTTGTTACGTGCTTAAACTGGGCGTAACCTACGGAATCTATCACTGCGTTTGATTCGATACTGTCTTTGGGAGTTTTTTAAATTATTTTCTAGTTATATTCTAAATAATTAGTCCCTTAGCAAGTAGAACAAAATAAACCTTGACACATGTTAATAGAACTCAAAAAGAAAGAACAATGCGAGGAAGTAGTCTTATTTTAAACTTCAATAATGTTTAGGGTCATAAATCAATAGTTCACTTTAGTACTTGCATGCTCCGTTAAAGGAATAACTTCTAACATTAATAGTCTGTGATGAAAGAGCTAAGCAATGAAAATCAACGGTCCTTCTTTACAGGCACTACATTACTTCGTAACATTCTTTTACAAACGGGGTCAAAACAAGGGCTTTAACCGATATGTAATAAGCTATTCAACCTATGTAGAGACAAAATACCTAAGGCGTCGTAAAAACATCGCACAAAATTGTCGCATTTTTATCGATTTAAACGCGCGTACAAAGCGATACAAACTCGCGTGAATCGCGTCTGTATCTTAATTCCGTTTCTTAATTCCGGTTTTAGGATCCAAAACAGTTGTTGGATTGTCTAATATCACATCCGAAAAGTAGTTAAATTTTTTTCTATCTCATGTTTCACCAATGTTTTAAAAGTTTTATTAGAATGCCGACTCAATGTTCTTTCGCTCGGGTCCATCCAATAAAGTAGTTTTTCGTTTCTTTTTTTTAAATCAGTAATATATTCAACGAACGCAGTGTTGTGTCAACCGACACCATTTTACTACTGTTGAGGAGTCTGATAAAAACTTAGGTTCTGTATTACTAGTATGTAGAACTAACATAGTTGTAAGATGATTGTTACTAACACATTTATGGACTAATGTCTGAAGAAAATTTAGTTATTATTATTATTATTACGATATATGTACGTCCCGCCGCATCAACGCGTTTTTTGTATCGATACAAATGATGCATGAAATGCGTATACGGCGCGACAAAATTTTTTAATGCATAGGTTTATTGTCTGCGTATGAATTTCGTTTATCGTCGGCGCGTTAAAATTACGTCGTGTGCAAAGGCGCTAAATCCATACCCTTTTTATAAATAGCTTTCTGAAAGCAGGTTTTTATATAAATTTCGTAATGAAACTGTAGTTCATACAGATTTTGTCTTGGAATTCCCAAACCGCGTGTCACAGGGTATAGAATTTATTAAAGGATTTTGAATATTGAAGCTATTCAATTTATTTTTATTATCTATGAATAGGCTATTCTTTGTTCTATGCATACCAAGTTGAATGCCCGCCAAATTTTTTTAAGATTTTGTGAAATTCCTGCTATTATTATAAATGCGAAAGTAACTCTGTGCGAAAGCGAAAGATTCGTTTAACACCGGTTTTCTGTGAGATCGTGGTAACACTTTTGTCGAGCCGCGCCCATATGTGCAAACGACAATATTATAGATTAACTACACACAGACACACACGAATGATCGTGCTCATCACAAATTATTTGTCCAGGGAATCGAACCCACGACCTCCAGTTTAGCATTTGGGATCACTAAGTAAAAATAAAACATTTGAACTAAGCAACAATATTCTCAATATAAGTCTTAAACGCTACTATCGGTGGTGCGAGTGAAGTCAATAATCTAATTTGTAATTGCGTTCCTTGACCCCAATTGTCAATGACTGCGAGCGCCTCCACTGTTCTACAAGTAATGGTAGCGAACTGTCACTCTCAAGGGCTCACATTTCATTTTTAAATGTTACCATCACGATTTGTTAAAGGATAAACAGTAGTATATGATCTAGATTTTAGAAGAAGAAATCCTAGAAAACAGGTTTAAAATTATCAAGGCTGTCAACTGGTAATTAGTTTTTTTTTTATAAATGCTAAGATCACAAACCTCGTCTGATATTAAGCGTTTACGATTATCTCTAAACACCTATGATATCAACCTTCTATCAGTAACAACAGCATTATAAGTAATTTTGTAAATATAGGTTTTCGACCGTGTAGCTTAAATATTTCCGTCATGAATACAACGAATATTTTTTTATTGAAGTGAAAACTTCTTTAGGCGCTTTGGGCAGTTTTGAACAAACAAAAGAATGTATTTTTTTAAGATAGGAAAAAACATTGAACTCGCGACACCGTTACCGTTACGACACCTCTGTATATAAGTACATATCTACATATATTGGCCCCGTTTACACGAGAGTTTAGTTTGGGTTGCAATACATTGATAATATATAACTAGATATAATATAAACATATATTGTGTATATACGAACAACATATATATATATATATTCATGTCGGAACTTTTCACTGCTATAATCAAACAAAATTTAATTGTTAAGTTTTCGACAGTGTAGCTAAAATATTTCCGTTTTTTATAGAATGATTTTACCTATATGGCTTTTTACCAAGTTTTAACACCCCAAAGTCTCCAAACTCCTCCCACCCTCTCAAGGGGCGGTAACGCTGGTGTGACTCTTGAGTTGCAGGTGTCCATGGGTGGCGGTAGTCAATTATTTTCAGGTGACCCATCTGCTCTTTTGCCCACTGTACCATAATAAAATTACTACAATCATAAAGATATTTCATGATATTCTATTATTTAATGTTTATATCTTTTACTCTTATGTAAGCTCGTTAAAGTTAGAGTAAGAGAATCAGAAGAGTACCATTTTTTTTTGTAAATTCCGGGTTTTATTTCACTGTGGAAAATCTCTCCCACACAAACACCATTGGAACTCCCGTACACCAGGGTCACCAGCAGCATCGATTAATAACACTCGGGAAATCTCAGGCAAAGTTAAATGTCTCGATTGTCCCGTTCGAATAATATTTGTATATCGTTATTAATCTGTTAAATCACTCGATTAATGCGAAGTATCGTCACAATACATACCGGAAAAGCCAGGCCCACCCCGCACTTTAGATATGAAGCTGCGAGTACAGATAACATGTACTTAAATATATATAAGTACTAGCTGACCCGGCAAACGTTGTATTGCAAAACAAAAAAAAATTAGGGATGGGTCACCCTTACCATTTAGGGGTATGAAAAATAGATGTTGGCCGATTCTCAGACCTACCCGATATGCACACAAAATTTCATGAGAATCGGTCAAGCCGTTTCGGAGGAGTACGGGAACGAACATTGTGACACGAGAATTTTATATAAAAGTATATTTATCAGCAGTCTGGTTCAGCACACGTTGGACGGCCGGGTGCGTGTTGTGTCAAGTTGTTGAACGATGTTTTCCCAAAAGAAAAACGATAACTACTCGCATATCCATTAGATAATGTCAGTTTGTAGTATGCACACCACATTGTTAACATTCTAATAAACACAAACAAAACTTTTTTCTGTGTGTTTGCGAATTTAATATAGATAGATAGATAACTCTTTATTGTACAAGAAAAAAAATTGCACGAAAAAAAAACATTACAAGTTGAAAATATATACCGCATTTAAATACAACATTACATTTAAGGTTTTTGTACGTATATTCAAATTTTGTACTAAAAGCATAATGAATGTTCCTCCAGCGACCATCATGAATTATGAAGGGGTCAATTGGGCTCAACGGTCATAGACAAACCAGTTCCAATGACATTTTCTACATATACACTCTTTACAAAGTTGATAGATACTTGTATGTACTTTAGATTCTATTATTTTTGTATTGTCTTCTTGCGAACGGTAACAACCGTTTGTACTCTACCAATGAGTAGGTGCCAATGGTTACACTACATAACTTAACTGTCCTTAGGTTAGATTCGACTCGATTCGGGAGTTACGACGTCATAAACCTTTTGTCATATAAATTTTATGCAAAACGTATGGTTTCAGATGAGAAACTGATTTGACTTGATAACCTACTAGCGCATTACTGATAGTAAACTTTGATTACAACACGTACTTTTCTAATCCAATGATTGTAATTACTGACAAAAATCTATACTAATATTATAAAGCTGAAGAGTTTGTTTGTTTTTTTCTTTGAACGCGCTAATCTCAGGAACTACTGGTCCGATTTAAAAAATTCTTTCAGTGTTAGATAGCCCATTTATCGAGGAAGGCTATAGGCTATATATCATCACGCTTAGACCAATAGGAGCGGAGCACCAATGAAGAATGTTTCAAAGACGGACGAAATTTATTACTATTGAGAGACGCAGACGAAGTTGCGCGGGTCAGCTAGTCTGGAATAAAAAAACATTTTGTTCCATAACTTGGTATAGAAGGGCTTTCTGAATGTAGGAATTAACTCGACCGGTTTGCGCCTTTGGCTAGGGGCCTATGGCTACATCTGATACCGGCAGCTGCAGCTTCCGCTGTTTTACAGATCATGCAATAAATACCTGTTTAAATCCTTTTTATCTAGGACACTGTTACTGTGGGGTGAATATAATAAAAGTGAATTAACTGTTGGTTATAATTTAAGTGCGGTTCAGGTAGTGAATAAATATTTTGAAATGTTAGCGGTCAGTCAGCGATCTTTTTTACCAATATTTGATGGACTATACTTTACAGTAATAGATAACTTGTGTATAATTATGTCTACGGGAATGAATGAGTTACGATAGGTATTAAGTACCTACATTTAAAACGCCTGATGTTTCGACCATAACTAAACTAAATTATATGTTATCTCTATGGTGGTTCGTCCGCTACCGGTAATAGATTATATGTACAACATGTCAGCTTTGTCGAAGTTTGTTTGCCCTTTCTTGTCATGAGGCTCAACCCCTTGGAAACAGGCGGTTGTAGATCGCCACAGGCATATAATGGATTAACTTCATTTTGATTGACAGATTGTTTCTATTGTGTGTGTTGATTCATGAATTTAGAGTCTAAGACTATTTCAATTATTTTTTTTTGAGTTTGTGCTACTTTAGAACTATTCTCAAACACATCAAAAAAATATTATTTGATTTTTAGATTTGCTTCATTACGTTAACTATACGCTCCCATGCCTTAATTGCATGAATTTGTTTTTTCCTAACTAACCAATACTTTTTCAAACTTTAATAAAAGTAATTAAAAACCTTAAATAGTAAATAGTATCATGTGAGTGCATACACTTATCAGATCCATTGCTTAACCGATGAAAGGCGTTAAAAAAAAAGTACCAACTGCTATCGGCTTGGATAGCAGTAGGTACCTTTTTTTTAACGTGTTGTAACCCCCTCGGGCTTTGAGAGTGGGAATCGAACCAACTAAAACCACACGGTGTGCCCTCCGCGCCTGAGTTAGGAGGGGTCCACACAGCTGATATTAAGACATCCGGATCCCTTCCAGCGCCAGCCCGCAACAGCGCGGGCACCATCTTTAGTAAAACTCTCTATTAAGGCGACGTCCGGCACACGAGGACGTTGCCTCCTCGCGGCTAGCCACTATAGCGGATGAAGGAGAAAACCCATCCTATCCACCCGGGGCCACCACTCAGGGCGGCTTGAGGTGCTGGTAAGCGCGCCTACGCCACCCGGTTCGCCGGCGTCGAATTGGGTCCGAGTGGAGGTCATCCTCCCGGGTCCTCTCCGCCGCCTCCTTCTGCGGGATGTCTTTACAGAAGGATGCGACCGCGGTAAAACATCTGTCACTTTCGGCCATGAAGCTTATGACGGCCGGTAGCGAGAGACCCCCTCCAATGACTGCAATGAGGACCCGACGTTGCGACGCTCAGGCCAGGCAAATTGCCAGCGTGGGCTGAGCCGCGCCCTCACTGCAATTGCAGTGGTTGGAAGGCGGGACTCAATTCCCTCCTAGCGACCGAGTGCAGATACTTCCCGAAGCACCCGCCCTACTACTCTACTACCCTACTCGACGATGACCGGCTAAAGCGCCTGTACCGTAGCATAGCCAGCACGTGAGTCCCTAACTGGGACGACCAATGAGCCATTGTGGCTCGGCGAGCGGTCTCTTCGGGCGGGGGCCGATTGCGGCTGTCCGCCCTGAACTCAGCCGTCCGCCGATGTACTTCGGCGAGCACTTCCGCCTCCAAATCCCACGGGGGAGTTCCGGCCAACGCGCACGCCGCCTCCGTCGACACGGTGCGGTAACTGCGTATGGCTCTAACCACCAATATCGTCTGAGGGCGCCAGAGGCGTGCCTTGTTCTGTTCGGTCAGAGACGCCGCCAACAACGGTGCACATTGTCATTTACCGGACAAACCCCGTGTACAGTGGTCTTGTCGCGACGCTGGCTCCACTCAAATTGGGCAAACGTCGTCCTAGGGCAGAAGCAACGCCGACCAGCTTTGGAGCAAGCAATTTGTCTTAAAAAATACAGCTTTTGGAAGCAATCTATACCTGGACTTTGCTGTGGGTACGTCGGGCTGGCCTTCTGCAGCTAATAGGCCATTCAGGTGGTTTGTTAGATAATTATTCAACCTCGCAGCATTTCAAAGCAAAGATTCCCATTAGCAGTCAGGCTTGACAATCTGATTCTAGACCTCCTCATATGTTTTTATGCTGTTAAGCGCCATCAAATTGCCATATATTATCTTGTCAATTCAATGAGCAAAAGCAGCTTAATAAATCCAGTCGAAAGTTTCTGCAACACATTCATATTAGATTAACAGCAAGGTCAATTCTCATGCATACGTAGTACTACAGTTATCAGCTCTAATTTTATTCCTTTATTTATCATTATTTGCTTTTCTATCATTCGTTTTCAGTGTGTTTTGAATTATCGATTGGCTTGGCGTTGTTTAGAAATTTTGCTTCACTCTGCATTCGCTAGGTATCGTTAACGTCTATCTGCTAACGCGTCAAAACTTTAATCACAACTTAAATAATTGGTTTTCTATCTCTGTGCTCTTTTCAAAGAAACCACCACCAAATTATCGTCTACGATATTCCGGGCCGATACGATCTTCGAACCTTACATAAAATAGCGTATTTAATCCTCAAAGGCCTTCTAAACCGTCGGCTCCTTTGCCTAACGAAGCTCTAAAAATCATACAACACCAAAACAGAAAAATAAAATTAATAAGACGCATTAAAACAACATGTTAACCTTTGCTAAGTATCTATAGGTTACTGACAGTGTTGCCTTGACCCAATATCTGGCTCATGACACGGCTAGGACTAATGGCCTTCAATCAACCAAGCACTCGCTCATTTTATTATTGTCTAACACTATCATTCGTGATACAACTTTATGAGCTGTAATTTTTTTTCTACACTTCGAATTCGAATCCGAATAAAAATATAGGATGTTGAGTTAGCTTGAAAAAGAAAGAAAAAATGCTTTCTCCTGGTGTAGTTACACATCTCTAAAAGACAGATTAATTCTAACTTTAAAAATATGATCACATTTTTCTGGAGTACCGTGATTAATAAGTTTTCAAACAAGCAAACAGCTCGTCTGATGATAAACGCTAACATAAACAAATACATACATACAGGAGCACGACTGCATTAGCGCCGATTAACCGCAGTTTTATGTAGCTTTGATATAATTTAAAAAGAAGTTGGCTGTACTCCACTTCCTCTATGTGTTCTTTTCCAACTCGCCATAATGTCAAGGGTTGATTGTTCCACTATGACATACTGACAACGATGACTCGCCCTTTCCACGAAAACTGTGTGGCGTACATAGAATCATTGAAGGGATTATTCTATAGTCTTGTATACTCGATACTAATATTATTATGAAATGTGTAAATAGACACTTATTCGCAATAATCTTATTTAAATAAGATATGACAGAGGACCGGTGTCTGGGTTGTTTTTAAAAAGAGTGACGTCAGCAAAGCTAACATCATTCTTTACATTGTCGTGGTTTTCCTTTGAAAACGCTGTAGCAAATAACAACAACAACAGTAAATACAAGTAAAAATGTATTCCAAGTTCTTACCGACAGTTGTACATACATCTATACGGTAGTTAATAAAGACAACAGTAAATACAATTAACTATGTATTTCAAGTTCTTACTAACAGTCGTACATAGATCCGTACAGCCCGAAGGCTCGAGGGAGAATGACGCCGTACGCGCAATGCAGCTCGTTTTCATAGGAGGCATTGCTCGCGCACGTGTTTACATATTGTTAGGTTAAGTGTTGTATTTTCTCGTTGTGTTTAGATAAAACGTTTTTTTTGTGTTATTTTTAACACTATCAAAACTTCAATTATAATTCATCACAATTTAATTTAAATCAATGAAATTATTTTTAATAAGTGAGGTAGTTTGTAGTTGCTCCGACAGATACAATACATTTTTAGTACAAGGCTTTTAGACCAAAACGTACCAATCGTGATCTGGGATGAGTGGTACACGGATTACCGAAATTCGCGATTATGTCCCAATTTCTACATCTTATTATGTAAAAGTAACAACTGCCGAGCCTTTTTCCCAAACTTGGTTGGGGTCGGCTTTCGGTCTACTACGACATGGTTAAACTTATTACGTGGAGCGACCACCAGACCTCCACCAAGTACTAGGCGATATTGAAGTTCTGTAGATAGATTGCTATTAAGCTTTTTAAGGCTCCACTAACCGCTACGATTGCCAGAAATATTCGTATGGCAACCAGGACCGATGAAATTATTTTAATTAACTTGTTAAGTCAATTTTCGATAGACAATAACATAATATGATAGTAACCTACATATCCGCCCAAGGTAAAATGAGCCTGGCGCTGTAACTAAAATCTTAAATGAATAATCTTATTTCTAACCTTAATCCTTAATCTTGCAATAGTACATATAATACAACATATTGGCTTGAATTAAACGGTGACAACATCAACTTCACTAAGTTCTTTAGTTGATTAACAGTTTGGGGTACCGTATAAAACACACTCACGTTTTTATATATACTTCGGTCTTATTCAGGGTACGTTTTGATATTGTAATAAATAATTCCTTAATTATAATTTAACATTTTCTTTATGCTACAGAATCAAAAAGCAACCCTGGAGCGTCTGCAACAAATCCAAGCAGGTGGTCTACCTAATGGGCTATCCTTCAAAGACGTACTTGTCCAATTCGCAAACATGCAGCAGACCAACGCTGGTCTGATACCTAACAGACCGCCAGAGACTATTACTAATAGACCTGAACACCATATAAGACCCGAAGGGAGAAGACGGCAGCAGGAAAGGAACCCACACGAAGACGTACACGTGACTGTCAAGCAGGCGGAAAGACTCGCGTCTCCAAGCCCGCGGCTGCCTCCACCACCTCCGTACCCAGAAATATCCTTACTACCCGTCACCACCAGTCAAGAAACGTCACAACAAAACTCCTTATTGCACGGTATCTTAACCAAGGTAAATAAAAAAATATATACTTAATTTTTTATTGCTTGTAGAAATAATCATATCCCAGCTTTCATTATTAATATTTTCTTTTTTTGTATATGGCAATAATTATGCTTGCGAAGCTTGAAATGAGTGTTGCCAACCTTCCAGCAGGGGACACCTGCGACTCAAACTTACTCGCCGACGTTGGCTAAACTCCTCATGTCGCCGGAACGGAAACAGAGTGCATCAACATTGCCAACTTTCGGTCAGGCCAAGGTACCACCTAAATGTACAACGATTATAACAAATTGGTGTGCTGATTGGCCTCGATCTGTCGAAATTCAAAATTTAGTTTTTAAGTAACCGTTTTTTAAAGAGTTGGAGCCGTTATGATTCAGTGCTTTATGGTTTACTTTCAGTGTTGCATGACTTAATATATGACTTCTAAATTGTGAACATTGAAAGTATTTATTTTAAAATAAATTGCATTAAATATGAGGTAATATGTAAATTTAAATTTACTTTTTGCTCCAATGATGATTTATTATATTTTTTCAAGCCATAATGTGTCCAGAATCGTAACAAGAATACCTACATATAATTTGATATGCAAAAGGCCAAAATATTAAAATAGTTATTTTATTTTTTGAATCTAATATTATAAATATATATGTATGTTTATACCATGTTGTTATGAAACATTGGCTTACACATAAAAACATATTAAGCTTCAACTTTTTAAACAATTCGTACTATTTGACTTTTGTTTTTTGAGACTGGCAATACTCATTGAAAATGCCACCTCATTATCATTTACCATAGTTCAATATTATCAAAAAACCTATATATATATACACACATACATAGACTTACCGGTATAGATTATAATATGCAAGAAATGTAAATTTTTTCGCCCTTTATATCAATCAACATTTTTATTTATATAATAATATATTAAAAAATACATAAATACATGGTTATGTAAATTTAAAATTGCTAACGACATCCTAGATATCTAGAAATTAACTAATATTTTCGCTTGGGAGCACATTTAATAAAAAAAAACACGATACAGTTGTCATACGTAATCCGTCTCTCTTTCAAACATTACAATATTCAAAGAAATGTTCCGTGAACATAAATAATTTGTAAACATTTTTTGTTTGACAATTTGATGTGCTTTTATGCGTGATTTAATAAATGAATTAATTCAAATATGGACATTAACAATATATGATAGTAGAAGTGACAAATATACTTCATGGAATTGGCTAACACAAATATTCGATTTAATGTGTGTATTCAAACTCCGATACAGAAATAGTAACTTAACGATATCGTTTTAGAACTGCGGCGAGATAACGATAACTCCGGTGCAGCCCACGCCACCTCCGCAAGAGCCTCCAGTGGAAAAGAGTGAAGAAGTTGTGCAGTTGGTGAGATTTCTTTATATTAATCCGTACGTTATCAAAGAAAAGACTCAAACTAGAGTAGAACCCCAGACGATTCGAAGTCGTCCGGGTCGGCAGTCTAATTCAGTGACCTAGCTTCGAAAATCTCATTTGCTGTACGAAGTGCTCAGAATACTGTATGTACTGCCACGCATTCTACAGAATATCGACTTGTCTTAAAATAATATTAATAATAATATTGTATGACATTCTTAGCGCTTTGTTGCTAGGTGTAGTTTTAAAATGTCTTAACTCAAACCTAAATTGGGTGTACTCCACCCAATTTAGGTTTGAGTTAAGACATTTTTTCTGTAGAAGTAGTTTTCCATCCTTTAGTAACATTTTTGATAGTTAATATCCTTCCCCTCGCGTGCCTACAATCTATGGGAGTGTAATTAGACGGAAGTTTGTATCAACGAGATTCGATAACGAGATATTGCTATTTACATTTTTCATCAACAGCCTTTAATAGTCCGCTGCTTTACATAGGCCTCTCCTTAGAAAGGAGATTTTGGCCTACTATACCACGCTGGCCAAACAGAATGGTATAGCGCTTGTGTATTTTCCGTCTCTTCCGTTGTCTTGCGTAGTTTGCTTCCTTAGTCGGTACTTTACATTGGTAAATAATCCGGATATTCCAACAATAGATCTCTTTTTTACCGGTAGTTTTAGTCATGACAACATTCTGTTTTTTTTTTGCAGAATTTTCAGAAACAGTCTAAAATATCATATAATTTCACTGCACTTTTCTGCAACTGCTATTTGTAACGTTGCTAATCTACATGAGCAGCTTATGTATCTTGTTAATCGTATTGCAGGATGACGAAGAGAGCCCAGCGTCCGAAGGCGAAGCCTCCGGTTCTCCGTCGGGCTCCGGCTCGGGTCGGCTAGTGATCGACGAGGGCGGGGGCTCGGGCGCGCCCGACGGGCCGGAGCCCGAGGCGGAGGCGGCGGACGACGCGCCGCTGTGCCAGGGCTGCAGGAAGAGGGACGCGCAGTTTGTGTGTGCTGGCTGCGCCAACCAGTGGTACTGCAGTCGGGATTGTCAGGTCAGTCTACAGACAACTATTTAACATGTGTATATTTACTTTATAAAATGTCACATTTCCATCGAAGAGAATGGAAAACAATGCAACACTCTTTCTTTGTTCTATTTTTTTTTCTTTCTTATTAAATTTTTCTTGCAGAAATAACTAAGGTTATGTTTCTTTTTGTAGAAATTAATTCAAATTAGTAGAATAATTGTAATTCCAATTCATCCAACTACCCTTCGATTAAATGTACGTATTGCCATATGTGTAATTAATACTAATAGTGAGTCAACTCCTTTGATAGACCACTAAATATCTACAAGACTATTTCGACTAAAACTGTGCAAGGGTTGTCGCAAAAACGGTAGGTAGAAAGGTAAAAAAGTACTTGCCTAATTTAACTAAATTTTACCTATACACCGTGAAATTGTAGTTGCCGTCCAAATTTTGTTTTAGGCACTAGACAATCTTTAAGGACTCCATTTTTCCAAAAAAATGATAGGTCAAATTTTGAACATAAAATATTTCATCCCGAAGAAACTATTTAGCAGCGTGGTCACTTATTCAAATAAGAACCCCGTCACACGCAAGGGAGTACTGCAAGGTCAAGACTTGCAATAGAGGTCTAAGAACAAATCTTCGACTTCTTTGAACGGGATCCTTGAGCAAGAACACGGGCCCGCAGCGCAACGCTTCCGCGTAACGCAGTATTTAAGCTGATAAACACCGCTGGCTTGCACCATTACCGTTATCAAAAAGTCCAAGACTTACAAGAAACAGACGCCTTACCTCGTCGACAAATCTGCGAGTGGCTTATCGCACACCTCGGTGCCAATATTTTGTGGACAGACGAGGCCTTGTTTGCTCGTGTGGGTTTGTACAACCAACATAGCGAACATTGGTGGTCATGTCACAACCCACAGGTCGTTAGACAAGATCTAGACTACATTTTGAATCTAGATATCTAGAAGACTACATTTTTAACATTTATTAAAATACATGTAAAGCAGTAGTGGTAAGTTAACCTCTAATTGCTTTTTTTATTAATTATTGTACATATTACTAAAGATTTATGTATTTTTTACGTATTTCAAACGTGCCCTTTAATTAAGTGAAGTTTTACTATTTGGATCAAACTCAAACTCTCTTTATTTCATAAAAATTGAAAAAAATTTTTGTTTGAAATCGTCTTTTATGTAGACTCTAAAGTCATAGATCAACACACACAACAACAATTTCTGTTTTGTCAAATAGTAAGCAAATATATTTAATAAAAATTACTTATAAAACAAATCTTACAAAACAATTACTCATACAAAATCTATGAAATGCCTGTGCCGACCGACAACCGCCCGTTTCAAAGGGTTTGAGCCTTACGAGAAGAAAGGGCATACAAACTCATGGCCACTCTTTTGCAATTTACAAGTAGATACAATGGCATCATTAAATATACCACAACATTGTTTTGATGTGTGCCGGTATGTCCGTTATTAAGGACTCAAATGAAAAAGACAATGAAGAGAAAACAAGATTAAGAAAAAAAAGCGAATAGAAGAGAAAATGAAGTGAAACATAAAAAATAGAAAAAAAAAAATACACCAGCCTATACCACATTTTTACTTAGAAATAGCCTGCGCTAATTAATCTGCGTCTGCGCTAAATAGTAATGTTATGTTAGGTACTTTATTTATCAATGAAATGTAGCGAAGTATGCGATACCGATGAAGAGGTCATTGACACTTGCGCGCCTACCGATTGCAGTGTGTCTGCAAATTGCGAGTTCTTGAGACAACTTTGCGATGCTAATTACTCAATATTTTTGTACCATGTGATACTAAACTAAAATGCGGGTTTCTCATAAATTTTACTAAAGATTCTTCGGTGTTAATATGAACGGCAAATTTAAGGTCCTTCTGTATAGCAGTATCTCGGGTTCCTATTCCGTTAAAAATATTGGTTAAAAGGTTAAACAAATGATATAAAACAGGAAACGAAAGAAACGAAATTAAATATTCTCCAATGTATCTTTGGAGAATATTTAATTTCGTTTCTTTCGTTTCGTGAAATCAGTTGGTGAAAATAAAGTAAGAAAAGATTTTGGTAAAATTCAATTCTTTCAATCATGTGATTGCTGCAGTTTTCCATGACGATAGTAATTATATGTAATTAATATAGTTATATGTAATATAATAAATAATATTATAGATATAATTAAAACAGGGATAGAAGTATTTTTGTAAGTATATGCAAATACATCGAGTAGTCTAGTAGTGAGTAATCTTGTGTTGAAGGGGCGTACCGGTTAGCAAGCGAAGCCGGCCGGCACTACCGCAGGCGTCGCGGGCAGGAGGGGGACTCCGCTCTCCCTCATACCGCGCCCCAACGTTGCTCCTCTAAGTAGCTGAGTTGACTCACTATTCGTTTTTGTTACACATATTCTTTTGTTCTGTGTATGACGGAACACATTTATCGTTTCTGTACTTATTAAACCTTATACCTATTGTTCATAGTATTCATAGTATGTAAGGTTAGTATGTAAGACATCAAACCTAAACATTAAGTCAATTTTGTACGAAAAGCTCACCTCATGTCTCGATAGATGGCGTTGTCGTTGATTAGAAAGTTGCGCTATCGTTTTGTTACCGTGCAATGTAATAACCGTGACTTTTATCAGATACATTAAATACCTACGTTCTAAGTATATGGTGTGGGTTTATTGCTATAAAATACTCCCTACTCGTCATATAAAAATGGCGAAAAAGATCTACGATGATAATAGCTCTTCGTTGCGTAGTAGCGGTACTCCTCTAAGTAGCTGAGATGACTTACTATTACTATATATTACACTATGGCGTTGCAACGATATTTTATCAGTAGGGAAATTACTATTTTTTATAAATCTGTTATTGTAAATCTTGATGTTTTCATTTCTAATATCAGTCCTAGCCCTAAGAGTTAAAGCAGCAAGTTGGTTAGCAGAATTATTTCTAAATAAACAATTCTCTTTTTATCCTTCAGGTGGCAGCATGGGACGAGCATTCAGAAATGTGTTCGGGCTAACGATAAGTAAATTATATGATGTAAAACTATAGTATACACACCACAGTATATATAAACACACAGAGAGAGATACGTGCGTAGACTAGCGACATCTGCCTTACCGAGGAACTTACACAGGAATCTCGCAAGTGACGTGTGCAAGATGTGTTTGTGCTGTCGTTTTTATTCACTTTCAACACTAAACTGTAGACGTCGCCTTGAAATGCTATTTGGCTGTATATTGCTTACTAATATAAGGTATCTGTCTCAAGTTACTGTAGAACCAGCAATGTAATGTAAAATTTGCAATAGTTTAGTAATGGAAATTTTATTTTCTCAATTTTTTTTCTTAAATTTTTTACCTATCTTACGAGCATTTCTCCAGAAATCCCTAATAATACTAGTATTGAGAAAAGATAATAAGACACAATCCTGTTTATTATTTTATATTTCTTCTTATTGGTCAGTGTTATTAAATTAATATCATGCATTGGTTTGCATTCATAATAATAATATCTAAACATACGCCCAATCTTAAGATTTTTGTATAAGAATAAGCAATTAAGGTCTCATAGCGGCAACCTACCTTTCTGGCAATATATTTTTAGCTTAAATTATGTAAGTCCTTATTGAGTTTATTTTGATTTAATCAAAAATAAATATAACTGAGAAGTTCTTTTCAAATCATTATAATTTATTATAAATAATAGAAATATTGTAACAAAGATGAACATAAATTTACAGCACCGGCAAACTTGTAAATCTCTCAAGTATTGTGCAAATAATTATATTGAAAGACTTAAGCAATAAATGTAAAAAATCCTTCTCACATATAATGTATGATATTAGTATCGTTAGGTGATGTTACATCATTTCAATTTACTTTGAAAAGTTCCTCAATTTTGGACACAGACACATTTTTGTACACACTCTAGACACAATTTGTGTTAAACTATGAACCTACGCTATGACTGACAATAACTTCAATTAACAATATCTTCCACCCGACAGTCTGATTCCAAACCAAACAGAGCCTGTACTATGGTAACCAGACTGCTGATAAACATACGTGTATATTTCTAAATACATACATATTACAAAAAAATACATCCATACATTCATGCTCATAACAAAATTATTTGTGCTGGATGGGAATCGAGCCCGCGACTTCTGGCATAGTTCTTAGGGTGACTAACCACTAAGTTAACTGGCCCGTCAATACAATAAACATACAAATTAATCTAAATTATACTTAATTAGCAGTGAAATAAGCACACTGATCATAAGGTTTATTTATAGATTCGAACATTCTGTCGTTCAACAGTCACTATAGTTTAGTTGCATTGGAATTTCTCGCTTAAACATACATCCTTAAAGTTCAACCTTATTAAATTCTGTCTGTCACTTATTGATTAAGTGTCTAAACACACTATACCGAAGGTACGTGACAGAAGTTCCGTGTCTGTTTTTACATTCCAACGTAAGCGCGGCAATTATACGACTGCAGTGCCAATCCAAAAGACTGTAACTCGACTTACAGTGTTTTGCTTTAACAACGCTTAATCAGTTTCTTTACGTCGGTTTAGTACCTTGATCAACACTTTTTATTCTTAAGTAGAATTTAGAAGAAATAATAATCTAAAAAGTACTGTAGTGTATTGAAATTAGGGTTTAAATATGTTAAAAAACTGTAACAAAGCTTACAGTATTTTGCCTAAACAAGCTCCGCGAGTTAAACAATTAAAAAAAAACAGTGTTTTCGACCGACCCGTGCACTCGCACGTTGATGCCGTTCAGCCAGCGTACTTGATTGGACGAAACGATAATAATTCCATAATCTTAGAGAACGAGGGGGTTATGGCTGGCCTGTAGTTGGACGGATCAGCGCGGTCACCTTTTTTGGGATCGGGTGCACAAACTTTAAAACTGGTTCTAACACCGGAAAACACGTCTTCAATACGATCGGGGAGATTCTATGGGGCCCACTCAACTTATGAATTAGTAAAACTGACTGAACTTCGGTCCCGTAACTTTGGCATAGTGTGCTTGGACACTATTTTTTACATAAATGATGTAAACATTACTTAATGAATTGTATAGAATTCCTAAAAGATTATCCTAGTAGAGATGCGGTTAGCCAGTGTCATACGCCTAATGTTTCTTTGGTACTGTACTTGTAGAGTAGAGTAGATATACACGTGTATATTTATGAGTTCATTATATACTAAGAAATTATTGTTTCTGGGAGTACTGGGTGGCTGTCTTCAACTTCTATCACTCTTTAACAAATAATTATGACGTCATGTTGTTCTATAACTATTTATTCCAACGAATGGGCGCTCAGAGAATCGAATTATAGATATAGTAGGATAAACTTACAAAATGGGTTCTACACATAATGCCCAATTCATAAATTTTCACTATTTAAAAACTCCCATTCGTAATTATTCTATCTTCAGGAGTCAATCGGGAACCTGCACAGAATAATCTCTATAAATTATCTGGTGGCTTCGCTACTTAGCGCAAACGTAAATATGTTCCAACAATGCTAATTAATGAATAAATTAATGCTAATAGGACGTCTAACTAAGCAAAATAATTTAACAATCATACTAGTTATAACAACTTTTAAAAGAATAGTCAAAGGTGCGTCTTAAATCGCCACGTTATTTCATCTGATGATCAAAGATAAGTTGACTGTCAGTTAAAAATCAGTATATTTTTGGTGAACATAAAAACGATAGATTCGGTACATTTTTTGTATGAAATAGACCTAGCCGTTGCCAAATTATTTACTTTTAACGTTAATTCAATTGATTAAAAAATAAATTGAAAACGTTAAAAACGTAAAAATTCTATTCCAGAATTTTCCCCACATCTTAAGTTATTTGATTGTCGTGCTTGGGCAAGTAATTTATCCAATTATAAGTATTGAACAGGATGTCCCATTTATTTTTACTTTCGTTTATCTGCGATATATTTATATCTAGAAATTGTAAAACTACATTTTGTTGGTTTTCGCTGTTGTATTATTTCAGCCTCGAATAAAAAGAGCATCACAGAAGGGACGTTTAGCCAGTGGACAACACTGTGCCCCTTGATATTGGCGCTAATTCTGTTGTTCGAAAACTTTCTAAACTAAACTAAAAATCACTAAAAACTGGCTTAGCCCTGTCAAGTAATATGTTTTCAAAATACGAACGTTATTTGACAGGACTTAACAAATTTTTTTGTGATTTTTAGTTTAGAAAATTTTTGAACAACATAATTAGCACCATTATGTTATGACGCGTGAACGAATTATTAAAATGTTACGCCCTAATGAGCCTGCACCTTTTTCGTTTATATGATATCAAGGTGATGTCTCAACATTTTGACTTATTGTATACAATTATACATCATTTTTATGTTCTCGAATATCAAATATAAAATAAAATATTATCTGTTAGATCAATTTTCCTTATTTACCTCGATGTAAGTATTTTTGTGCTTATTTTTGTATTTTATTAATCATTTTGCTTATGAGTGTGAGTAGAAAGATACAGTATGACATTAATCTCACATTCTCTTCTTTTCGAATAAGTATCGTACATACTTTATTATAAAAATTACTTGTATACGAAACTGAGTCAATCAATGGTGTTAACAGTGAAAATTATATCTAGGTCTATATGTAGACCTCAGGTAGCCTATCTAGCCATAGATATAGTAATTATTAAGGAAGAAAAATCATTTTTTTTTCTTATGTCATATTTCCATCGATGTTTATACAAACATACTAAAATGGACACTATATTGAAGGTAATAATGTCCATTATACAAGACAAATCTCATTTATTTTTTGTTCCTAAATTGATTAAAAACGTGCGTATCGGATGACGTCATAGAAAATTATTTGTGATTATTATACTATTGTATAATAAAATAAGAAGAGCATAATAATATTATTTTGACTGATTTTTATATATAGACACGAAAAATTCTGCGTGACAGCGTCATTTAGGTTGATTTATAACTTTGTATTTATATACCAATGAAAATGTTAATAAAAATTGATTAATAGAAAAATTTGACTGGTTCATGAATATATCTACTTCATTAGTAATTCGCCTTCAGCAGGTTTGCCAAATAGAAACGGACACCGGGACCTAATATATAATTTTTTTTACATAGCTCCCGTCGTAACATTATGAATTTAATCATTAAAAGTATTCAGATAGTCTGACTTTTGAACACAATTATGTGAAAGAAGAGAATTTTAATTTTAATTAGGTTGGTGAATTTCATTCATACTTTCAAATTCAACAAAAATTTGACTGGTAAATTTAATTTAATTATTTATAAAATGCTTGACAACTCTTTCAAGTATCATCACGTTTATTTTAATCAGATCTTTGTGTAATTACATAATAACATAAAATGTGACAGGCTCAAAATATCTTTAAACATTTTTGCTTGTATGCTTTGTTCACTGTGTTTATAGTCCATCTAATCTAAAAGGTACCGTTTGACAGTTCTGCCAGATTTAATCGATTACTCGAGTTCGAGATCAAAGAAATCGATTACGTACTACAATATGTAATTCTTAAGAGATGTTGGTATCATTTCTTAGTATGTAACTAATCGATTACAATTGTACATGTCATAGGTATTACTAATAACTAGGTATCGAACTCTCTGAACTAAAAAATAGCTTAAAATTAGCTTAGTCCTGTCTGAAAACCTATTCCTATTTGACATTGTGACTTGATATATTTTTAGTGATTTTTAGTTTAGTTTAAAGGGTTTTAGAACAACAGAATTAGCACCACTTGCGATAAAATAAAAATAGCTTCATAATCCCACGGTTTTACGGTAAAAATTATTGAAATTATGTGAGTTACACCTAAATAAAGTTGTTTCGTCTTGAAAAGTTTGAAACGTGAAATGGTACCTCTTAGATTAGATGGACTAATTAAAAGCAACCCATGCAATCTCGTCACAACGATTCTATATGAGTAATGTATTTATTTTCCATATTC